GAAGAACAGCGCTGGAGAAGCCCAAATACCAGGTCTCGAAAACTATCACACTAAGTATCAAACCCGTGACCTCTGGATTGATGATACCACGACTAACCACTTTAGCTACGTGCTTTGTACCTAGTCTAGTCTTTGAGTTATTTGTATAAAGCAGTACATTGCTCAACGATTTTGCGTGTAGCGTATCTTGAACCACTGTGACGTGAAGGGGCTGCAAACGAGATACCTCTTTCGCTGGCGCGGAATCCGCCGTCGCACAATAGCTGGGTGCCTCACTCGCAGCTAATGGTTGACGTTGAGGGTCTCGTACTCCAGTACGAAGAGACACATCCGATGAATCACATAGGATAATACGCGCCCATGGCGCTGGTAGAGCGACTGCAGGTTAGCAATCGCAATGCGAATTTCATAATAGATATGCACCGTAACCCAGTGCAAAGAGAGGGAGTATACAATCCTTTTGATGCGTTGAGTGTTGTCAAAACAACACGGACATGGGTAGTCCCACGTGAGGCATGAAATTTCTGCCTTACGACACAAATTGTGCAACCTGTCTTTTGCACCAGTCAGGATTTGTTTCTCAAACCTAACACGAGCTGTGTCAAGTTTCTGAAGCCAAGCTTCACGCCCTCTGTGCTGCACATCGAGTACATAGTCTTTATAAGCCTGAAGAAACGAGTCTTCGTATCGCTGAGTGTTGCCACTAGACCAGTGATGCCTTAGAAAAGGAGACGGATCGGAGCCTTTTTCTGCGCAAAAGTTACAAGCGGTGACGTCGAGACCATGCAACAGCCTCGCATCATACAATGATATTCAACGATGAACACTTGTATCGCCTGACAATCTATCGTAAGCCTCTCTGGTAACACCTAAGTCTTTTGTTTAGGGGCTAGACGCAGCACATTGCCGTCCAGAGCGTCCTGCGTAGTACCGATGGAAGTCTCTGTACCACTAGAATCGCCATCACGACGGTGCAAAGCATCACCACGTTATCTGAAAGATAGATGAATAAGGCAGGCGCAGGGGATGAGCCAGCATGCTCTTCCTCCAAACTAAAAAGACTCTGGTAGTGAAAATGAGTCTGACTACCCTCTCGAGTCTTATTCGTAGGTTAGTACTTGGTCGCCACGATAGACTCGGGCGACCCAGGTGTCTTCTCCGAGTCGGACACACCGTGCGAATCCTCCGAATAGATGAGTTTCACTAGGGAGCCATCATCCTCTGTATATAATGACTCGCCACATGCATCTGCAGCAACTTGCTGCACATGTCCTGCAGGAAGAGTTGCATAAGCAGCAGAAGAAGTACCTTCTGCCGCGAGAGGCTGGCAATCGTCAAGGAAAGCTGAATTTACAAGCGCATCGCATGGGTGTGCTCACCATGCGATGGAAATCCAGAAATGAATGGATCGGACCAAAACAAGTGCTCGCTGTCCCTGATGTGGTCTAGTGGTGATCATATCAATATTGTGGTGATCAAGCGACTATAGTTCGTGAAGGGTGAGGTATCGGGTTGAGCCTGTTACACATAATTAACTCTTTATACTTATTGATTAGAATATTATCATAAAGGATGATAATGCTCGTGAATATTACCACAAGGGGTAATATTCAGAAATGCTCACAAATTGGCTGATGTGGGTCATCATGTCAGCCAGCTCTTGCGGTCCAATCAACGATGGACGCGCGCAGTGAGTGGTGAACAAGACTCAAGCACGCTTTTTCGTTTATGAAAATGATTAAGTGAGGACTAACCATAGGTACATGTAATTAGGACTCAATGATTTTTGTTACAATTTTCCTTTTACCACCAGCTAGTCAGTTCCTAGTTGCTTTCCCTTCCTCTGCCGAATTAAAGAGGTAGCGAGGTACCGCTCACGCGTCTGTCGGTGATAGTAGCTCCACGCTAATTGTCTAGTGTGTAGCTCCGGTGCATCGTTATAACAATAAACTGCTTCAATTTAGATACATGAAAAAGGGAGGAATTTGCCCAGACCAGCGATAGTTATGTCCTCAAATCAACTAAATACACTGATAAATTTGTTATTTTGTAGGCACTCGCATGCCTATTCTTACGCCAAATAATGTATTTTGAAGTGTTGTTTTATTTTTGTCGTAGCGTCCAAAAACTGTTTTTCGAGCATGTTCCTATTTATTTGGTGATTTGCTTGCGCAAAATTATGATTGCTTCTGCTTCAGAATAAAGAAAACACTCTTGTCTTGGGTACTATCGTTGCCATACTTCAGTCCAAAACTGGTTATTTGAGCAAAAATTAAGGTAGAACTTATAATTATCTAAGATTCGAGTCAACTGCCGAAACTGCATGTGAAATTATGACTTTGTTTTATCTCAGATACACATGTCACCTTTCACACTGCGTACGAACTACTATAACAATCGTGGGGTATAAGAGCTGTACAATCATTATTGCTGAACTATCTCTGCCATTGACGCGTACGGCCAGCATTACCATGGGTAGCTGATCGGATGAATATGCCAATGAAAAGACGCCGAGTGGTGCACTTCAGAGACATAACGACTAATTCCGATGTAATAAGATTCTTCACGTACTGTAGAGAACTAAGAACACATATTATAAAAATACCTTACTTACGGACGCGTGCTAGATGTAACAAAGCACACCTTATTCAGAACTTAAATACTCCTTGCACTGCTGACAGTGCAAGCGTGTGTGCGTCCGACTACCGCACGTACACGTACGTGCAGAGGGACATTGCTTAACGGAGTAAGAGTACTCAGCAAAGGTAAAAAGTAGAAATTCGTTAGTATAGTTACTCCTTTTTATAAATTCTCTTTTTACTTCATTTTACTATGTCTGATTACAACCATGTACTGTAACTATCTGGGCACCACTCCTTGCGTGCTTCGGTCGTGGCTAGATTCTTTAAATTGATTTATTGCTCTTATATCGACTAATGAGCAGTGTAATACATCTGCGAAGCACTTCATCAATCAGGATAATATTGTGAGAATATTGTATTTGTCCGAGCATAGTATTCATACTTGATGATTACCGTATCCTAATTATCATGTAACGAAGGCATTCCGTTGATTTACCAGCGTACAACCAGTACCCTGCTAAGTACGGAATATCATTATTTTTAACTCGTACATATTAATTGGTGGTTTGTGCTAAATTGTAGCTGGTGTGCGAGCTTACATTCGCTGGGTAGACTCAAATACAGAGATGTCCACAATTGCTACGTAGCCTTGTTTTTATGACAGCAGCATATCGTGCGGTAGCCGTAAGTAGAGCTCCGACTACGATCAACCAGCAAAACCTAGTCCAGGTCGGAGCCGTTGCCGTAACACTATGACAGAATCGTGATAGGGCCGACACTTAACAATTAGCGTTATTCAGGTTTAGAGCAGCAAGATGTCCCTACGAAAAGGCATTATCAACCAGAGAACGAACCAAAGTACCTACATGAGCATTGCTTAATCTGTTTAAAAGTACAAAGACGCTCACTAGACTATAATGGTGTGTCAATTAAAGTGAGCCTTGATGATCTGACGATTGCTTGTGCTTCGAACGGTAACGTGAGGTGTTTTAGTTGACGTTTGGCCGATGTTTAGCTGACGCGGGCTTCCTATCCACTACATGAAGTGCAATTGCCACCTATATTTGTACACAGACCGCTATTAAACAATCCCGATGGGAATGTGCTGGCAGACTCATTGATAAAAGCATGTAGTTTGACACTCGCACGATACCTTGCATGCTTTAGTTAACAAGTTCCTCGACTCGGGTCAGGAACGAGTTACACGATACGATCTCGTACTTCTCACGGTCAAGCGCTTCGAATGCAGTTGTTTGTATCATGCGCTGTTCCTCTGCACTATCCCGCGCACGTCAAACTCTGTCTACCTGCTGAGCATCTGATGAGCTTCCTCTGCTCCGGGTTTTTGGAGCTTTGCATGCAGCCACACACGATCCATCGTCACTCCTTTTTTTCGATTGCGCAATCGAACGGTGCAGTACGTTGCCTCTAGCGTGCGAAATCCTGCTTGCTCGAAAAGCTGCACCAGCATCTCGCGCGAGAAGAAGAAGGCCAAGGTCCCGTCACTGCGATAGTACAGATTCGGTCCAAGCTTTTTAGCATTGCGCCTCATGGCGAGATCGTAGAGTCCATAGTCGCGAAAGCAGACGATCCCGCCCGGCCGCAGCACGGCATAAATTTTCTGCAGCGTACGGGCGAACGACTCCGGTGGTAAGGCTGACAGCACGAAGACCATGAGCACAATGTCAATGGACGTGGGCGCAACGTCTACCAGCTCTTCCTGAGCTATGTCGCACACGAAGGCGCGGCAGCGTGTAGCATCGTACTCTGGGTGGTGCTCGAGCATGTTGATGGCGTGGGAGCTGAAGTCGCACACTTGTGCGCGCACGTTGGGGCACTCGGCGAGAATGGGGAAAATCGCACTGCCGTAGCCACATCCGAGCTCCAGAACTTCCACCACGTTTCGTTCTGGTGCACAAAGCTCGGGGAACTCGCTGACGAGGTAGTTGCGGGGCTTGTAGACTTTGCCTGAACATTGCAGCAGTCCTGAATCAGCTTCAGGGCACGGATCAACATCGACAGGGCACTAGACACCCAGTGATGTGCCCCCCTCCCGACCTCCTGATCCACTTGCTTCAACAACCAGTCTCTACAACGACCTGTGCCGTCCACCCGAAGAGCTATGCAACTGCTTACCATTGTGTCGCTGGTGGAACGTTTCCCACTTGTCTCTGGCTTCGCTCGCAAGCTGCTGCGCGTCAACGCGCTCTCGCTCCTCGTCAGTTGTCACGTCGAGATGTCTGCTCTCTTCCATTTGCATCTGGCATCGTTTGGCCAGGTCGTTCCAGTCAAAATCCTGCGAATGGAGCTGCACCGCAGGCGGGAGGGGGGTCGCCATCTCGAAATGTCGTTTCGTATTGTAAATATCACGTTTTCGGTGCCCAAAGTGACTCCGCGATTGCAACTTGACATTTCAAAATGGCACCAGCAGCACCACAGAAGGACGTGAAGCACGAATTGAATGCGACCACGCTGGATGCTACTAATGGACGCGGCTGTAGGAACGGGCACGTGGTCATTGTCACCAGTGTCCCGTCGTCTCTATGTGCTAGTGAAAGCACGGTGCGGCATCTTTTCGCCACTTATGGCACGCTCATGTCCGTGACGGTGCGTCGACTTGCCACATTTACAGGTTGAGTGCCATAAATAAACACCGCGTCCCGCGTGACGCTCTCTTTGCCTCATTGAACGCACCCGCCACCAGGTTCACCACAACTTCTTGGACATGGAGCCCGACGGGTTCATGTACTTGGAATACTCGGAAAAACAAGCGGCAGAAGCGGCTGTCGCTGCTGTCGAGGAGAAGAGCGTCGGATCAGCAGTTGCAGCAGCAGCTCCTTCTGCCAGATCCAAGAACGCGGTGCTCCCGTCTGCTGTTGCGGGTATGAAGGCGGCGCTTGCGCTCGCTCGAGGAGTGCCACAAATTGAGGTGGACGAAGAGGTGAAGGATGCGCTGCTCGGCAGACAGGAAGTCAACCGGTTCACACAGAGTCAGCAGGAACTTGTGGACGAGGAGGATCTGATTCTCCAGAGTCTGTCGCAGCACTCACTTACTAGCTCCCAACCCAAGGCGAAGCGAGACAAGCGGCGCAGAAGCTCGGAAACTAGTGTCGGCTCAAGAGGTCCGAAGAAGACTCGAAAGGTGAGGTACTAGTGGCAGTGCGCCACCACTCCTGGATGCAGTGGCCATGACGAGGTGTTGGCGGAAGACGGGACGAGCTAGTAATTATCATATTTGGGAAGCACAGAGTCATCCCAACTACTGCCAAGTGCTTCTCGAGTCAGCGCAGTTCGCTCGATCGGCATTTGCACGTGGTTTCATTGCAAATTGGACATACCTGCAGCTTCGCCTTCTTGTTGGGAGGAGTGTTGCTACACAATGGGGCGCACACTTTGCCACATAACACTGTTCTTGCTAGGTTTCGACTCCAGTCAGATTCTTGTGTTTGTTCAGTCCTAGACGGTTCAGGTGCGACTTTCTTGCCATCATCTCCGAACAGCTGAGCGGAACTCGAAAACAAGTCCACAACCTCAACTTCCTCGTTGCCAGATCCGTCTCCGTCGCGACTAGCATCGTCATCGTTGATACTGCAATCGTTGCTATCAGCAATTGCAGTACCAGCTGCCTGCGTGGGTGCTCCCATGCTTGCTCGAAAATGACTCCCACTTGTCCGCTTGTCACCGACAGGTGCTACAAGCGTTGACGCCACTTTTCGCATTGGACGATCGTCGCAACCAGTGTGTGAGCTTATGGCCGACAGAGAAGCGGTGGTCCTGATGCTCTTGCCCACAATACGTTGCTCCAGCGCGGCAAGAGCACGTCTGATGTTTTCATTTTCGGGGTGGCTCAAATTCTGTAGACGAAGTGGATGCCTGATGCGCGTTTGCGACTTCTCACTTTCGCCATCAGCAGCATCCAAAACGGGAACGTCGTGTGTCGAAGACAACGGTATCGACCAACAAGGGTCTTCCAGTGAATCGGTGCCGGTAACAGATCGGCCCTTTACGTCGAGCACTAGATCACCGTGTTCTGTGCTGTCTTCGCAATCTTCATTCCCATCACCAATGTCGTCGTCATCATCATCCGTGAACTCCATCTGCTCGAAGTCAGACCCACTCTCTTCGCTATCGGACGACAGCAACTCATCATGCTCATAGTCACTATCATCGTCTTCCTCGTCGCTACCCTTCTGCACCGTGTAAGCGTTCACATCAACACTTGCTGGAGAAAGTCCTATGACCGCCGGCGGAGTGACTACTACATCAGATAGCATCGCGCTCGGCATAGTCTCTTGGGTTTGTGCTTTGCTGAGTGTCACTGACTGACCGTTCACACCAGCATGGTGTGAGTCGGTTTGAAGCGCTCCGTTATCGGTAGCATCAGTGCTAAGCTGTTTTCTCAGCAGATTATCATTGGCTTCATTGTCTTCATCCATAAAAGAGGGCCAGTTGTGTTTGCACGTTGCATTGAGCAACGTCGCAGGACTGATAAAAGACCATGACGAGAAAAATAGCGCAGGGTGTAAGTTTTTAGATCTGCAGGAAATCGAGCCAGATCCAGTCGTCTGCGTGCCAGTGCCAAGCGAGGATACACCCAAGGCGGCTTCGTTGCTGACGGATCCGCATGTGAGAGCGTCCCGTCTTCCTTGACCAAGCTGGTGTAGCTGTAATGCGGCTTCCAGCTTTGCCTTTTCAGCCTTTCCGTTCTGTTGTAACATTCGTGCTCGTAGCTTATCCTCCAAAAATTCCTTCATAGCAACCACGAAGTCGAGCGAATCATCAGCAGGCACTGCAAGTTTCATGTCCGCAAGATCCGGACGAAACTTTGTCGCAAGCCGTTCCCAGCGCTTTCGAATCTCGAGACGGCTGCGATGAGAGAGGTAGCGTTTTGACAGACGAGAGAAAGGATACTTCTCACCGTGCAACTCAACGAGTCCACGCGTGATCCGAAGATCCTCCTCTAGTAGCCAGCTATTATTGTGGTGCTGCGGACCAGTCCTCAAATGAAGTGCTTTAACAGCATTCATCCCTGTCTTTGGGCTAATCAAGTACTTGTACCGATGTCGGAGATTTTGTGTGGTTTTACTCGGAAGAAAGTGCCTTTGAATCTGATCCCACGAAGTCGCTTGTGTACCAAAACGCTTAGCGCCATGAGCGAGCAAAGTGTCCTCGATCATCGAGTATCCCTTCTTGCTTTTCCGGCGCTTTTTTGCAGAAACCAAATGTGTATCCAGCTGAAGCAATTGCTCTTGAATGGCACGATTACGCTCTCCCAGTGAGCAGTCTCGAGCAAAAGTAGCCGAAAGCTCGTCTACAGTTTGCGACCCGACCAGCTCGAACATCGATGGGTGGGCTACTGCTGCGTGTGCTGCTGTCAGCGACCTTGTCACACGTCGCGAGGCCAGCATATTTCCGGTAGGTTCAGCGTCTCCACTGTTCCCTTCCACACCAGAAAAGTCACTGGGAGACGAAATGTCATTATAACTACCAACATCGGTATCGACAGCATCCGTCGAAGCAACGCCTGCACTACACCTTGTTCCAGGGTTCAGCTTCGACAACAATGCGTTCTTACACGCAAGCGCCTTTTCACCGCGTACTCGTAAGTCTTCGATCATTGCTTGACATTCCGCCAGCTCGGGTCGAGCCGGTTGACTCGCCAAGAGATGATAGCTTTGAAGTAGCAACTGCAGATGTTTGTGCATCTGTGATGCCAGTTGAATGCACCGTGTTTGGGACACGGTGACGGGTCGGCCACGTCGCACTGCCGGTATCGTCACTGGCGCGTTGCCAGTCTTCATTCCCGGCTCGGCTACAGCTGGACGGACCTTGCGCCCTCCTTCACCGCTAGTCTCGGATAGAGCAGCCACCTCGTTTCCATTGTCGTCTGCTCGTTCAGATGCAACCACGCCATTGACATCCTTCGGCTCCACAGCAGCAGCTGGCAACACAGACAACGACGTTATGCGCGTCGAGTCCAGCAGCAGCTCCGTGAGCTCTTTCTTGGAGATTCCCTGTCGAGCGTCGTCGTCCTCCTGGTCCTCGTCTTCGTCCCCCTCGGGTCGGTACTCCTCGTCCTCTTCGTCCAGGAACGACAGATCCACTTCCTCATTGGGCAACAGACTCGACAAGAACCGCTGGTACTCCTGGTCGTCCTCGCCACGTTCAGCAAATGCCTGCAACAAATCCACCAATCAACGCGTGAGTTCGGCCGCTCAGTGGATCAAAACACGCGCCCTCTCTCTCTCTCTCTCTCCATCGACGGCCGACCGATTGGCTCGGGTGTCAAATCGTCTGGCACCAAACAGCAAGATTCAGTGCCGCACACCATTGGACGAAAAGACGCACATGGGTACATTCATACATGGGTACATCCATATTCTGCATACATGGGTACATCCATACATACATGTCTGCCCAGGTCAAGTGGAGCGGCGTCCACAAGCGAAGCTTCGAGCGTGTCGATGGGCTCGTCCACGAGCGAGAACTTGGTGCGAGTACGAGTCGCGATCGTGTCGGCGTCTGTCTCAGTGCCGCCAGCTGTTGACTCGAGTGCCGACATGTCGTCCGAAGTAGCCACGGACATGTCGGAAGACAAGGGATCGACACGGATGTGGACGGGATTGGCTTGGAGCGACATTGGAGCGACATACGCGAGACGGATCAGAATCGTTTCGACAGTCGTAGGTCTGAGCCGGGGTCTAGTTTGGCGAGTCTTTGTTTGCGCCATCAGTCACGAAACAGCCTTTGAAGACACAATTAACACCTGTTATGCCACACTCACGTGGCGAAGAAGACATGATCATCACTTGGTTGAGACAAGGTGTGCTCGGTGTTCTCAAGTGGCCTATCGGCATCGGTTGATTATATGAAATAGTAGACTGACTTAAACGACTGCAACTCTTTTCGGTACGTCGTATGAAACAGTGAGTCGAGACGAGTTACAAAATTGATTGACGTACTCTTTTCACTCCATGTTGCAACGATTGTACTCATCAACAATGGGCATCAATCCGCATTCGACTTGTCACGAAATCTGTACTTGACACCGGTTCTGTCCCGATGTCACTCCGTTTGCAACGAAGGCGGTACAAGCGACGCGTGTATGAAAAACGAGGGGCATTCCTAGTTTAATTGAGCGCCTGATCTGCTAGTGGCATAGCCAAACGAACCATCGAGATCAGCGTTCATTGGTCGCCATTTTGTAGTTCGTGTAATAAAATGGTAAAAATTAAACTCAAAACAGCATTTTTCTATCACCAAAAACAAGTGGTCCAAATTTTCTTGAACCTAATAGTTTATTCTGTTTATTAAAAGACAACCATTATTTTTTAAATTTAGTCATATTATCTGTAGCGCTAATTTTTTGATGTCTTAATAAATATCTAATTTTCTTTTATTTTAAGACATAAACTTCAGGATGACCAAAAAACAAAAAATATCTAGTTTTATTTGTAATCCACGCTTGTTCCATTGAATTTGTCGTCGCATTTCCAACCGCTTTTACAGACACCTTTATGGGTCAGCAAGTACGGCGACAGTTGAGATAGGAAACTGAAGATCCGAGCGCACTATATATCGAGGCCCTGCTAGCGGCACGGTCTTTGCATCGGTGACGACTGACACAGATTCTTTGCCATCGCCTTCCGGAAGAGGCTGCTCAGCTGCTGTGTTTCGATTCACCTTGCGTATCGGAGAACATGCTTGGCGATTCCCACGTGCCATTGAATCCGGTTCGGAGTCCTGGGGCCTTTTTTCTTCGTGAGCTTCGCTATTACCTTGGCACTCGTTACGATATTGGTCTGGCCTCACTGAAATCCAATTTACAGACAGCCAAATATTAGCCAAGTTCATCGTAGCAAAACACCCGACAACATTCCGTCTTACAAAATGCATCTGTTGCAGCCCTTGCGCCTTTAGGGAGATTGACAAAACCCACTGACGAGCCGATGGTATTCCGGCATGCGGATGGCAGTCGATGCAGGTAGCCATGATCCACCTCAGCACCAAGCACGCCGTCACCTCCCCAGCTCTCGGTCGGCACGATCGTCACGATGCGAACCTGATCATCGACGGCGCTGTGCATACATTTTTAGCACAGTGTAAGACCTTAGCTCAGCATCCATCTACGGTGGAAGTAACACACTCATACCACCTACTTGTACACATAGCATTGGAACGACCCATCTAGCGCATCGACAATCTCATCGTGTAGATCCTCTGCATCCGTAAAGACGCGGTCGGGCGTCCCCAGCAGATAGTCAGAACCCGCTCGGAGTCCCGCACGTTCTGCTGGTGACGACTCGACCACATTCTGCAATACAAAGCGAACAGAATCTCAGTTAATGAACCAAAGGTAGAAAGCACAAAAGAGAGTGAGAGAGAGGAACGTCCAAGTACCAGCACATGTACTAGTTGGTCTTCCACGCCTTCGTAAGAGTCAAACCGGATGGTTACACCGATCAAGCCTTTACCTGGCCACTTTCGACTAGGTGTTAATTCCAACTCTCTCGTGGCCTGCGTCTTGGCATTATACACTTGAAGCCGCATAGGACGGTCTTCACTCTGGGCAAGTAGCTCCATGAAGGTTGCGTCCCGAGTGTCCTTTACTTACACACGGTACATAAATAGTAGGCACAACATTGTTATGCACTAGGTACGAACGACGTGATACAGTATCAACGACGGGCACGAGCTGCCTTACAAGTCGAATACCGTTGGCCTCCAGAATGAAGTCGAAGAAGCTCACGAAGCCGACCGCGGACGCAGGAGACTGCTCTTGGATGCCGAGGACGCGAAAGCCACTGTGTTTGCGGCCTTCGATCGCGCCCTCGTCGCTGCTGTCGTAACGAAGTCCATCGTCTTTCACGGGTGACGAGCTTCCGTTTCCCATATAGAATCGATTTGCGGCTGATCCTGTACTTGACGTTGTGGTACGAATAGGCTCAAATAAGTACGGACAATCAGGGCTGACAATCGCATTTGACTGCGACAGTGCCGAATTGACTATTTGACGAGAAATCGGCTCAAAGTTTGGTTTGTGCGCTCAGCCTATTGGTAGCGTTTGATCTTCGATGCAAATTTTGATTTTGAGCTACAATGACGGCTGGATATTGAGCAATGGGTAGGTTGGTATCGTAACTATCTATAGCTCCATTGCTGTCCAACTTATCTACTAATTTGACGTACTAGATGCTTAAGGAAGGAAAGGGTGGGAGTAAGTAGGCGCAATTCGTCTCGGATCAAAGGTCTCCGCATGGTGTACTCGGAAGAACGAAAGTTATTAGATTGATTGTATCGTCATTGAGCGAACGCCAAATTACAAATGTCTTTCCTACGCTAGTTCAATCAGGAGATCAGAAGTTAAGCATAATTCTGCTCACTGCGCGAGGTACACAACGACACGCGGTGCCGTCGGTACTTCTCACACTCATACAAGAGGTGTCAGAATGAAAGCTATTCATCACTTGTCCACAATACACACACGGATACATTATGAAAAGTTCCTCAGACAACAGCCAGTTTTTATCCTCATTCTAATTCGGACGGTAATTCCAATGCCGCACTTCGTACGGCTTATGGACATCATTGGAAGCTTCTCTAAACGTTTAACCAAACGGACTCGAGCCACAATTGTTGGAATGGGAGGTATCTTAAAGTGCCAAGGGAACGCGTGACCTGTTCCACACCAATGGTTACAACGTATTCGCATTGGCTGAGCGAACACGTAAATACGTCTGTAAAAACAGGCGTCAGGACGTTGAAACGTAAGTGAACGCTAAGCCAATTTGTCGCACGCAGTATATGATCATTGAACCTGATCCACCACTGCGACATGTACGACGCTGACCGCCGATTTAAAAGTTTCTCGACTAAGTCCAGTGATAAGGTGGTCTGCCGCACCTCGTAGGGGTTAAGAAGCGGGCGTACAGTCACGTTCAGCGCAGCTCAGAGCGTCTCTAGCAGTGAGTTTAACCTACCTTTTCGTGCGCCAATTAGAGACTTGTACAACTTCCTCTCAAACTTGTACGCAAAAAACTTCACAGCAGTCAGTATGACTGAATAATATTCGTTTTTTTCGGCCAAACATGACTGGTGAAGTTGTGGTCGCCTTGGTTGGTTTTTTGGTCCCCAGTTAGGCTCAACGGTATAGTGTTGCTAGTGTCATTTAAAACCACGTCGTCGACTTCAAATCACCGTTCTTCTCTGTTAACTGGAGCCAATGACATGCAACTAATCTTCGCCAATGACCGGATTGATCTCAAAATCGTGAGTCAGTGATATGCAGCCAAATAGGTATCCCGGGCGTCACAGAACTACAAAACGTAAGGCGGATTAACGTAAAATAACTTTTTCTCGAGTTATCCCCGAGTTATTTCGCTGCTGTGGCGCACTTTTATGAGTATATCCAAATAACGTTTTTTGGTTGGCCAGAATTGGCCAGAGAGTTGAGTTATACTCACTGCTGTAGACGCTCTTGGCCGTAGCTCATATACTGCATCTATTTGCGATGCAAGGTCATTCATTCGTAGTATTGCGGTGGCACGCGAGACCATCATTTTCCGGCGGTGGCATCGACGCCTCTTGAGCAACAAAGACTGTTCACAAACAAGCTTACTGCCTCTGCAGCCAGTTCGTGCGATAGAGACTTTGTCGACGTAACTTTGACTGTCACTAGTATTGTTCATTCCTTCCCTCCACGGTGGCACGTCCAAGCGCAAGGCAGCCGTGACAACAGTCGCGTGCTTTGTGCCCCCGTGGCGGCGGCTTGACAGTTGCTCAACCATGAGCACACGGGACGACAGAGTCGATCGCAGGATGTGATGGGTAGTCGATATTGCGTTGTGCCACGTCCTGTCCGTGTCGGTACAACGCAACGAGGTGGGTTTACAGCCCAGCGGCGCCACATGAGTAACGATCGCGGGGATTCTTATCTACATCGAAGCCGCACTGCTTTGTTCTTTTCGTCATTTGTAGCGCTGAAAGTTCACATACGCAAGGCTTATTCCTATCTGCGACATGGACGTCGTTGTCGTGCCGCGAACAGACGCTGGGGCGCAATCTGAAGCTTCAAGAGCGCAAACAATCGCTCTACGCAACTCTTTCCCTCTGCTGCTCATGCCTGATTGCAATCCTCTGCCTGCTAGAGCAAGCTGTGGGATGACCGAGGGTGTTGACAAGAGCACTCGACTGACCGTGCGATCGGAACTGTTGCTTTCGCTCGTCTCGTGTGTTATGCTCCGGCTGCACTTCGCACCACGAGCAGTCGCTTCCGGATGGTGAGTAGTGGGATGCCACCTCACGACGTGCCCATATGGTTGATAAACATTCAAGAGTGTCTCTGCTCGCAAGCTCCGTCTCGAGTTGCTGCTGGCCAGCCACGTCAGCATTTGGCAAGCGTTTTCAAATCCGGGGGAAAGTCCGGCGAGCAGACAGCCTCGCGTGCCCGGGCAACCGAACACTGGTACGGGAAAGTCGGGTCCAGTCGGCGGTGCCCCCGCGTTCCCAGAATTTGCCAATTTGCCAACACCGCTCGCTGCAGCGCAATTGTGGTGGTTGCCATGGTGTAAGTACCTGCAGCAACCACCAGCTCGGGTCGCATCCGTTTCAACCTCCCCTCGCGTGAAATTTGCTTCGAGACTTATTCAAAAGCACGTCACGCCTCGTCGAAGCCTTTAGGTTGGCTGGTGCGACTGCCCGCTTCACGCTCGACTTGTATCGAGGAGCTCATTCCCAGTCCAAGTCGGTGTAAAAAAACTCTAATTTAAAACTTACAGATAATTTACCCCATCCTCGCTCGCTCGCTCTGTCTTTGACGTACTTCTTCTGCTCTGTTCGAGCTCATACTTACACCAAGAGTTCCCTCCGTCCAATTCCTTGGTCGTCTGATTGACCGCGCCAGGAGTGATGGTCCAGATATAAATGCGCCGTTTCGCACCCAACGGCCTGAACCCACCCACACTTGCACGACGGCGCGTGCTCGTCATTTCCCAATTTGCACCGACCGGCTCAAGTCGATTGATCGACCGACCGACTGACCGATCGATCCGTCGGTTGACTACGCCATGGCCGCAAAGTTGGACGACTACGTGATCCAGCGACGGCTGGCGCCCGCGCTGTTCGGTGACGTGCTCCTGTGCCAGCACAAGCCTTCGGGCGACCTCGTGGCCGTGAAACGCGTGCTACAGAGCGCCGCGCGCGCCCAGCGCACGCTCGCCAGCAACAAGAAGGTGCACGAGAACGTGGCGCTCGAGCGCGCGCTGTGCCGCGAACTCCAGCGCGCCGGCGGCCACGAGAACGTGCTGGCGCTGCGCGACGAGATGGAGATCGACGGCTACGTCTACCTCGTCTCAGACTTTTGTGCACGGGGCGAGCTCTACGAGCTCGTGAGCGCCGCCGACACCGGCCACCTCCCGGTCGCGCTCGTGCAAAAGTACGGGCGCCAGATCGCGCGCGGCGTCTCGTTCTTGCACGCCCACGGCTTTGCCCACCGCGATTTGTCGCTCGAGAACGTGCTCGTGACTGACGACGACCAGTGCCAAGTGTGCGACTTTGGCCTCGCTGCGTCCACGGCCCAGCGCAGTCGCGAGACTGTTGGGAAGCTCTTTTACATGGCGCCCGAAGTGCTCGCTGCAGTGCCGTACCGCGCGGCCAAAGCCGACGTCTGGTCGCTCGGTGTCATGCTCTTTATCATGTTAGTGGGGGCCCCGCCAGTCGAGACGGCGTCGTCTATGGACGCGCGCTTCCGCCTCATTACGAACAAGGGCGTGCGGCAACTCCTGGACCGGTGGGGTCTTACACAGGACCTCCCAGCTGCAGCTGTTGACCTGCTTGCTGCGATGCTGGAGGTGGACCCGGAGCAGCGCATTAGCATGGACCAAGTCGTGGCGCATCCGTTCTTACGGAGCGCCAGCAGTAGCTCTAGTGGAGCTGTTGTGGCTCCTTTGCAGCAGGTTGAAGCCCTCGAGGGGCAGCAGATACGGACCTCGTTGCCAGTCAAGTGCGCCCCACAGCAGCCAGTGACGCCACTGTCCTCGTCGGTGCCGGTTACGTCCATGTACGTGACACGTCCCGAGTCGGACGGCATTGCACGCGGCAGCTGCCGCCTGCTGTTTCACAAGATCCACCGATTTTTTTCCCGCCGCCGCAATAAGCGCGTCATGGCTGTAAACCGCAGTCAGCCTGTGTCTTCGACGCGGGCAGTTGTCAAGCGTCTCGTGTGCGGCGCGTGAAGGCGGCTCGACCGTCGTGCTAATGGACTCGTTGTGCCTGTGACTACTGTGGATTAGCCACATACGCACACACGCACACATTTATCCGGGACGACGTGTCGAGTGATTCGGATCCTGCGGTTGGGGAGCGCAGGACGTCGGACGTCACAAGTGACGTGTATTTATTCGGGCAGGGGGATCCCTCGATTGCCACTTTAGTTGTACAGAAGAGTGGGAAGAGTTGTGACTTGGATGGAAGAGCAGTATGTAGATGCATAGATAGCAACAGCTCACGACATGTAGAATTTGCCACCACGATCCATCCCACCACCATCCCTTCATGGCATTCCGTTACCATCAGAATCGACGTCTGCTGCAGTGTTAGCGTGCAAGTCTGTCGAGTCGAAACCAACTGCACACGGCCATCACTGCTTACGCTGGTGCTTGACGACACCTTACGTTGCTATTTTACAATGCAAGCGCTGCTGGAAATGAGGCGCTTCCCTGTCGTCTACCACGACGACCAGCTGCTTATTGCGCATCAACACTGAAACAAGTGCCAGCCAAGGCTCTAAATGGGTCAGCAACCACCTGCACTCTACTGTATCTGCCTATGCTACTAATGCTCTTCTGGCACCACTGCGCTTTGAACGAAAACACGTGCACGCCACTACGACAACCTGTACATCGTGTAGCACAGCACATCCAATTGCCGTTGCAGTCTACCACATGCTTTTTTGCTGCTCTAGTTGCAGCGCGACCTGCGTCTTCACGAACATTTTCGAGCTACCTGCCCCAAATCTGCGTGTGCACATGTCTATGACCCGAACGGAGTCGTCCACGTTCGTCGCGCTTGGAACGCGAGTGATGCCGTTGTAGGCAGGAAGAGTCCGACAATGAAGGCGGTCGAGCGAATGTCGACGACGACCGGCTTCATGCTGAACTGATTCAAGGCTGCGACGGGCATTGATGAGCAAGACAACGGATTTGGGCGTAAATATTCCAGGAGCACACCTCGCGCTGGCTCCTGAATTGGCAGAAGACTAATGAGTACCAGTACGCCATCCGATCGCGTCTTTCATCGTCTGCGCACGTGCCAATGGCAAGTCGATGACGACACTGCTCGGTGTCTTGGTGCAGCATTTGCCACCGACACAATCGCGTTCTCGCATGCGTAACTAGCCACTGCAGGCATCGTCTGGAAAAACGCTGGTCTTTGCTCGAAGTCCGTCCCATTCCTCACATAGCAGACCTGCTGGAAACACATACACAAGAAGGCGATGCGCCTAGTTAATGCCTCATTGTCGCGTCTTTTTGGATAGAAACGACAGTTTCAATCGGTCAACGCACTCGGAACGCTCGAGTCCATGTGCTCGATGGGAGCAGCTCTGATTGACGCGACGGGACCAATCGCTCGCCCTTGTCCGATTGGCTGGTCACTTCAACTTCGGAGGTCGCGTCCGTGCCTGATTCGACCGAACGTGACGTCAGGACTCCAGGTGGGAACCGAACCGCCCACAGTCGCATAGTAGCACGACTGTTACTGCGCGCCGTCGATGTCGGTACTAAAAGACACACACGCTGCGATAGTGCGTCCGTGCCTCGAGATGCGAACGTGCTCACGCCGACCGTCTCCCACTCTCACCTGAACGGGGTTCGGTTCGGTGGTCGAATGCCAGCCATCTCGCGGACGGGACACTTGATGATGCAGGCGCTTCTGGCGCCATGCGAACGGACTCGAGTGGGTCTCATCGAGTTCCTCTACTTCCAGACACTTGCCCACGACTCTCCTCCTCATTGAGCTCTCGGCGTCATCTGCAGTGGTCGCACCTCGCTCGCTTCGATGGCTGAGTTTCTCTCGCGATATCTGCTCTTCCTCCCGCGCACATCTCAACCTGCACGAGACGAAACGGCAACGCCACCCTCGCATCTGAGCTCTGAACCGTCCTTTGCTCCTCCGACACTTGAGCACGAGCTGGTCCTCGATCCATCCATCCATCCATCACGTGAGACCTCATTTCTCAATTGTCACTCAAGTGCTCAATCGCCTCTTGAGCTCGATCAGTAGATCCCCTCGCTAGGCGCGTCGACCACCACATTCACATGGGACTCCTTCGCCACTACGTGGACGTCTTGCTAGCCGCCACTTTCTTAACACCCCGATCCAGCAGCACCAGCAGCAGCAGCGCGTCAACCCCCAAGAAGAACAAGACGAAGCTCCAGACACTGCACACGCGGCCCGCATGCGCTCCCGTGGTCGCCAAGCACGTCCCGATGCCAGTCATCCAGTCCCCTCCGCAGCGCTTGAATGACTTGAAAATCATCAAGACACTAGCGCCCGCCCTGTTCGGACAAGTGCTGCTGTGTCTGGACTCTACCAGCGGTCGCCAACTCGCCGTGAAGCGCGTGGATCTCGGCTGTGCGCGAGCGCAAGTGACAGTCAACACGCGGGTACAAGTGGTCGAGAGTCTCGACCAAGAGCGCAGCGTGCACCGCAAACTGGCAAGTGCTCGGACGACCAACTTGCTCGTCCTCGAAGAAGAGGTGCAGTGCGGCGGCAACTTGTACCTTGTCTTCCCCTTCTACTCAGGCGGTGACCTGTTTAACGTCGTGCGGCATAGTCCAGTGGACGGTCGACTCCCGGAAGCAACGGCGCGTCGATTCATCCGCGACATCGTGCGTGGTCTGCTCTGTCTGAAGCGCAATGGCTTGGCTCACCGCGACATCTCGCTCGAGAATGTCCTGCTGGATGCCAAAGGCGCGTGTCACGTATGCGACTTTGGTCTAGCGACGCAACACAGCGCTCTCATCGCTCCGAAACGCGTGGGCAAAGCGTGGTACATGGCGCCCGAAGTGTTTGCAGCGACAGCGCCGTACAATGCGCTGCCCGCTGACATCTGGTCGCTTGGAGTCCTGCTTGCAATCATGCTCACCGGAGCGCCGCTCGTCGACCATCCGACCTTAAAAGACCGTCACTTTCGTGTCTTGAGCCAGGGCGGCGGTGTCCGCAGACTCCACCGCGCGTTTCCTCGCAAGCTCTCGGACGTGACATGGAACTTGCTCGAAAAGATGCTGACGATTGACCCGGAACAGCGTCCGACACTTGAACAGGTGGCGACGCACCCGTTCCTGATGCACAGATGAACGACCATGTTGCTATTCCTTCTTATCATAGACTGTCGCGGCCAAACTAGAACGAGATCAGTCCGTCCGTCCCATGGCTGCTACGAAGAGAGCACTCTCTGTCTGCTGACGCCGTCCCTCTTGTGCCGCTTACTTGACCCCTTGCACCAACGAAGTCCCTCCAGCTCTCTCTCTCTTCTGGATGCAAAGAAGAAGCTGAACCCGTCAAGTCCGACGTCTCGGCTGCGTCGACAGGAAGTAGGCGAACACCAGGAACACGAGCGCCCGCCAGCCGAAAACCGCCGCCAGCAGCGCGGCCACCACCAAGTGGGTCTTCTGCAGAGGTCTGGCTGGCATCCCCATCATGGCTGGAATGGTCACGGAGCCTTCGAGTCCCACTTGCCGTGCCAACCCTTGCAAGGGCGACGGGCGGGCGGCCACAGGAGTCACGGGAGCTCTAAATGGTGCGTCGGTTGCATTGGGCACTGAACCAAAGCGGCTCGAGAGCGGCTCTTGACTTGGTCTGTGTGGCTGCTTCTGCTGCGCACGCACCCGTGGGTCGTCATCTGGCACGATCTCTCCGTTGAGAATGTGCACCATGACGTCGGACAAGTAGGGGACGCGGTGACTCAACTCCTGACGCCTCTGTCCGTGGCAAAATAGAAATGCCACACACACGAAACCCACGGACGACTTGAAGGACTAGCTAGGAGCTGGTGATTTGCTCAGTGGTGAGCTTCCTAGAATCAGTAGCTGGACGATAACGTCAAGCAAAGATGTCGGACATTCCAAGCGACAAGGAATGTGAAAAGCTTCAGGTGCATTGAAGTCCGTGCGTCAGAACGTGGTCATGATCACATTGGCCACTCGAGTTGGAACACTATGTAAATGATGCGCGATTGCTGGATCGATCTTCGAGCTTTCAACGGGTGGCCATTCGATACCAACCTTCTGCCATCTCTGACTCGTCGTGCAGTTCAGTTTTGGGTCCTCAGTGTGCTGTGGCCCCGTCGATGCAGGGCTATATCGACTCTGCAGCTTCACTTTGCCTGCACGCGACCATGGATGGAATGGGTATACTGTCACTTGTGGATGAATCAGTCTCCTCCTTTCAGACGTCGGATGAACTCCGGAACACTCTCCAGCTTCTGTTTGACAGCTGAAGGGAGAAACGATGACATGCTACCGGTCGTGAGCAGCTCAAATACATCTCCGTTGACACTGGTCTCGTCAGGACACTTGGTCACCCAAGAAGGCCGGAACCAAAGTTGTTGACCACTTGAAGCTAAAGTGAGCTGAGCTCCATCGAGGTACACGACTTTTAACGCTCCACTTGCGTCGATGCATCCACGTCCGATGCCAGCAATGTCAACCCATCTCTGAGCTTCGTCCAGGCAAGAAACACTGCGAGTGCCTCGGTTTATAATGGAGGAGCGGTTCCGGAACGAGGCCAACAATGACTCGGGTAGGGTGTCGTAATGAACAAATGGAAGCTTGCTAGCTTCACCACGTAGTGCAATTCGGCGCAACTGCATGGTGCGTAGTGCGAGACACTGACAAAACCGAACCAGCGGTGGCAAGAGTGTGCGCTGGGCAAAGCGTGAAGGCGACACGCGAGATGAACCACATGCTGCCATGGGTTCAGTCCGCGCGCTTCTTACTCCGGGAATCTCATACCGCAACGAATCGCCTTCTCCCGTTTTGGCCGTGAGCGTTCCAGTCGCTGGATCGTAACATGCTTCCCACCCATTCGAAACATTCATGAGAAAAGTCGGTGGCCAGCCAACCTCAGCTGGTTCCTTGCAGCTCCACTGCACCTGCACGTTCGTGTTGTTCGTAGGATTGTTACCAGCTTGAAGAATTGCGAGCCACGCGACGTCCTGCAGCTCCAAATGCACAATCACTGAGACAAACGACTCAGTTTGGCTGGAACTTGCCTCATCCACTTCGCGGTTGATCTCATTTCCCTCGTCGTCACTTTTGGATGTTGGCAACGGTAGCTCGGACAAATCAGTGGAACCTTCATTGAGGCTACGGTCATCAAGACTGGAGTTGCTGTCGCTACTGGTGATGCCGAGAGCGAAAGGCATTGGTCGTAAGTGCGAGCGTCTCTTTTCAATACGAGGGGCTTCGTGCTGCTCGCGCTGCTGAGAGCCGGCATGAGCATCTCCAAGTGTGCGGCGTCTTCGAGTCTTTAGGGCAACAGTCGACCTAGCCGATGGCAGTGGACAGTTTTCCTCTTTCCTCGACCGATATTCAGTAGCTCTGCGACTCTCGCACGAGCTCTCAGCATATTGAGACGTATCCCGAGGATGCGGGGGCATCCAAGCTAGAGACTTGCGTCTACCATTAGATTGAGGCGGTGCACGCCTACGAAATTCGCTACGAAGCCATGGATGCACCGAAATTTGTTGCGCTGACGGACGGTGATGCGGATTCTACAGAGACACATGATCACACAAGTAAGCAGTTGTCCAAATGACGTTCTCGGGCGCTTGGAGACTACGTACATGACTAAGCAGCCGCTTAATCAGATCGCTTGCAGAGGATGAAAATCCGTCAGGAAACTGGAGTGGGTTCTGTCCCGCATTTGCCACATTCTCCAACGTCTCACTGCAATCAACTGATGTTAAACGCCTCAACTGGTCAACATGCCTTACCCATAAACGCTTGATCTCACCTGACTTTGCGGCCTTCGAATGGCGCTTTTCCCAGCAACAAACAGTACAAAATACACCCAAGTGACCAAATATCGACCGCCTCGTTGTACGGTTCATCTTGTGCCGTCAATACTTCCGGCGCGATGAAATTAGGCGTACCACACATCGTCACATGGTCCTCTCTACGTCACACAACCCACCATAAGCACCGACTGCGCATCATCTTTTCATCCCTACAACATCTTCGCTCCTCACCCGAGTCTTGCTGCAAGGCCAAAATCTGAGATCTTGACGACGCCATCCCCATTAATCAGCAAGTTCGCGAGCTTCAGGTCTCTGTGGATCACGCCACTAGCGTGCAAATACACGACACCCGCCACCACTTGGCGGAAGATCTTTTTAGCACTCTGCTCGTCCATCTGACGGCCTGGGAGTGTCTTTACAATGGCCGAAAGCGACCGGTGGGCGCAGTACTCGAGTGCCATGTAATAATTCCGAGCGTCTTCAAAGACACGCTCAACGTGCAGCACGTGGCGGTGCTGCAGCTCGGCGTGGAGCACCATCTCCTGCTGCACTTTGCTCTCCAACTGCGAGCGCTGCACCAGTAGCTTGTCAATCACTTTGATGGCTACATGAGTTCCGGAAGCCTCGTGCTGGGCCAAATAGACTTGGGCAGTGGCCCCTTCACCCAAGAACTCGAGCAGCGTGTAGTCCTGCATGTCCACAGTCATAATCAGGATGAAGAAGCACCAGTTTAATCAGCATTAGCATAGGAAGCATGGGGTTGGGTACACGTACAGAGATCGAATGTGGCACGAAAGTGGCGGGGGTCTGCTCCATTGAGAGCTAAAACGCGACTGATTGACGTCCGTCTATTTATGCACGAATACGGCATGCACAAAAAGGACGAGTAGGGGTGCGGGTGGTAGGTTTTTGACTCGGAAGATGAGCCAGCCCGTGGACCGTTTGCGGCTCAAATTGCGACATCGTCGTCGGTTTAGTTGAAGGAATAGAGCGAGCCAAGGTGAGTATTGTCGGTCGAAATGGTGTATTTGCTGCAAGCTGGTAGACCAACGACGCACTGCAGTGTTGAAAGTGAGGGGCGAGCGTCCATCGAGAGTCGATGTAACAAGACCCTTTAGCACTAGGTAGGGTTCGCGAACCATGATCATTTTGTTGAGCAACGAACGTATCGCAGCGACGTGTAACTAGGGCGGATGAGGAGGTGCATGTTGACTTTCTTTGAGCTACAACGTGCTTGAGATAAGTACACTGGAAGCAGCTTCGCGGGTCTTTGCAGGAAGGAGGTCGCATTCAAAGTATAGTCACTTGACTTCTACTCCCGCTTCATTGAGTGCCCCTCACGTGACGCGTGTGCGCTGAAATGTTTACCAAACACGATGAAGGTCAGGATGAAAACGTAGTCGAACAGCGTTGGTCACGGCGAAGGATGCTTAGCTAGCTAAGCGATGCTCTAGTTTTGCTTCCACTAACGACAACATTTCATCGCAACCCTGCGTTTAGATCCGTACTTACAACAAGCGCGGCCATTGTCTCCGTTCGTACGAGTGTCACTTTTTCCAGAATTTGTAGTGTCGCCACGAGGTGATCGACGCATTGATACCTGCCATTCCGACTTCGATGCGTCTTTTTATTAGATAGGAGTACAACAAGCCAGCTACCAAACCCAAGCTAGCAACTGGTAGGGAACCAAGTGGAGCTGGAAGGAATAAAAGACAGCCACACCACGATAGCTGGTCGCCACGAGGTAGGCATTGATCAGAAAGTGTACATTATCCGCACGATATGAACATAGGCGTAACGTGCTTTGTGACTCGGCATACTCAAACAACAGCTCATGTGCTGGACCATGAAGCTAGGAAAGGATACTTTTGGAGTCGTGGTAATAGGATGATTAAAAAACGGTGTATGTGGTGCTACGGCATGGGAGCTAATTTTGACGTGCTGGTTGAAGTCGCACACCATGTCGGGTACATGGATGGATAGAGCTGACGATGTGTCGACACCGTCTCAGTAATGATGGCCGTAGCAACGTCTCAACACCGGCACGCCCATAGAAAGACATTACATTCAGACCGACACCTTCTTGATAAGGAGGAGTCCGGTAGTGCTTGTGTCGACTTCGTAGACAACGCGCCACATCAGTTCCAGACATTTTCATTTTGCGCGAGACATCATCAGGGAGATCCTCACCATACATTAACCTGTATGATGGTGATCGGTTCGGTCGACCGTTGCAAGTGCTGCCATCCAAGTATTGCACCCAAGTGTGGGGACAACGTTGTCTTTTTGCTGCAGTCAGTTACCATCGGTGCTTGGATGGACTTAGCACACTATACACCAATTGTTAGGAAGCACGTTGCTGACTTACCAACAATATCAGCTGCCTTGGTAGCGCTCTCAGAAAAATTGCCATGTTCATTCGCACGATCGAGTCTAGCAATCTTGAACCGCGATCTGCTTCACCGCGAAAGCATTGGTCGTGCTCTGTGCGATGTCTGCGCAAAGATTGACCCCAGTGATCTATGTACAACAAGGATGACACTTTTACTTTCAAACGTAGGACCGATGTCGAATGACTCGTGCACGTTTGAGACTATGCTTTAGATATACATCTCGCTCGTCCGTCCCTATCTCCGCTGTTAGCAATGGCATTGCTTCTCGATATGATTGTTAACGAGCGCCATGAAACGGACAGCTCCATTCATATGCCAAAGGCTACGACTATGGTGCTGTAAGTGTCAAGAGGCAAGCTCCAAATTGATATTGTAGCAACACGGTGCGTATCGTGGCTATGGAGAGTCGCGTTTACGTTGAGCTGTTAAGGAAACACGGCCTCCCCGATCTGCATCATCGCCCAAAGAATGTGCACGCCGTGATTGATCCATTCATGTTGAATTTGACCAACTGAAAGACAGCGAAGCGTATGATACTTCGTTGCGAGAGACATGACATGAAGCTGTTGCCTACGACAACATAGTCAACACCCTCTCTTTTATATTGCGTAACTAGGCAAGCTATTATGTTACGATCACTTGACACGGAAAGGTATGTCGTTGCATCTCAAGTTTCTCCACATCATCCCTCATCTACCTAAAATTGATGGAGCATCTTGTATCGATACAGCGCAGTTTGTATGATTCGCTATCTACACTTGCTGCTGATGCTATTGCGTCGCCAATACATGCTGAGCACTTGAATAAAAGCAATTACATCTTTCTAGCTGTCACTTTCGTTACTCTATCGCGGACACATTCTAGCTCTTCTGTCTCATCACGCAAACCTTGTGCTCGTGTTAGCACCATGGTTAAACTCATCGAATCCGCAATTTGTACTCTATGCAATAACAAAATGCTTCGTAGGTCGAGCACGGCCTGACACCTTCTCATAAATACGCAGCTTGCAATACTGAAAACACATCTTTCTCGAAGCGTTTCGAAGCAAAATTGGTTCAGAGTTAAAGTACGACGTACTTAGTCTCAAGCTACTTCACACTTCAAGGTCAAATCAATCTTGACCTATCGTAAATGGGGTAAAAACTGCACGCTGGAATACTTGTCCCACGTAGCCGCAATTCAGCCAATCACGTAGCTTTCTTCTGCGTTGCAGCTATAGTCGCCCGGCATTTTCGCTCCTTCGCCGCTCCACGCGCTCGCTCTCCCTTTCGATGGCGGTGTTCCACTTGTACTCGGCGCTGAACCTGCTCTGGATCTTGTGCAACAGCGCATGCATCAATTTCCTACAGTTCTGCCTCTATTTCCTCGTGCGGCCGTTCAATAATGCGCTCTACAGCTATCTCATGGGGTGGGTACCTCGTCTCTCTCTCTCCTGCAGTGCGAACTTTACCATAATTCCGTCCCGTGTCTCACGATTTGATGTCCCTTTTGCTTTGCAGCCCTGTAGCACAATCTCTCTGGGTCGACGTGGCGTCCACGAGCTTCCCGTTGACCAAGCTCTCGGTCACGGGCGAGCTGCCGTCCGACCCTTCGAAGCCTGCGATCCTCATTGCGAACCACCAGGTGGACGCTGATTGGTGGTACATTTGGCAGGCGGCCCGTCATCAGAAGGCAGCAGGCAATATCAAGATTGTGCTCAAGGACCAGCTCAAGTACTTGCCTATCCTCGGCTGGGGCATGCGTCTCTTCCAGTTTCTTTTTCTGCGACGTCGCATTGACGAGGACCAGGAGCATATTCAGCAGTATATGAATGGACTGATCGCTGATCAGTTTCCGTTTTGGCTCGTGCTGTTTCCTGAAGGAACGACCATTCATAAGGAATATGTGACAAAGTCGCAGGCGTTTGCGACTCGAGAAGGCCGTCCAAAGTTTGAGCGGGTCTTGCTGCCTCGTACGACGGGCTTGCGGATCATTTTAGATGCTGCGGCTGCAGTAAAGCCGGATATTTACGACTTGACGTTGGCGTTTCCGTCCTATTCGGGCGAAGTGCCGTCTTATGACATGGGGTACGGACGTAGACTGGACACGGAAGTGCCGTCGATGAAATCTTTGGTGGCAGGGAAACAACCTGCAGGTAGTGTGGCCATACACTCCCGTAAGTTTAGATACGAGGACGCAATTCAAGATTTGCAGGGATTTTTAGATGCGCGCTGGAAAGAGAAGGAAGAACAGCTGAACTACTTTATCGAACACCAGCAATTTCCTGGTGAGGAAAACACGGTGGTGATGGAGCTTTCGGTGAGTTGATTGCATGCAATAGTTGCGGGTGAGTTAGGTCTGATGAGTTAAGTTATTTGTTGCGTTGTGTTGATCAGAGGTCGGTTCGAGCCGTCTTCAAACTGTGGCTGGGGATTGCTGTCTCATGCATGGTACTGCCCTTCGTCATGATGCTCTTCTTCCCGCGTACGTGCTCGTTGGTCATTCTTGCTGCATTGTATTCTTTTGTTGAATGCTGGCTATGATGATCGCTGTGCTGACTCTCCTTGTACTTTGCTTAGTCTATTTTGTCTGGGTCGTCTACTGCTTTGTGTACTCGATCTACGACCGCACGACGAACTTTTGGTGGCCATACATTTTTAACCTGTTCTTGGGACGTGCTGCTAAGACCGACGACCATCATTAACGACACGAAGCATTGAAAATGTGTGATGCTTATGGATAGTCGAGTCTTCCTGTGCTCACACAAACGCAACCTTGTCGTGTGCACTAATCTGACGTTAATGTGCACCTGTGTAACGCTTCAAATTGGTGTCTTTACATTTATAACTGCAGATTGTCACGCAAATACCAAGACGTGGCAACCTGCTCACAGCAAACGTACACCCGGATGGGGCACTACTGGCAACTTTATGCCACAAAACGCTGTTTCGTGACTGATGGCGCAAACAAAGACTCGCCGAACTAGACCCCGGCTCAGACCTACGACTGTCGAAACGATTCTGATCCGTCTCGCGTATGTCGCTCCAATGTCGCTCCAATGTCGCTCCAAGCCAATTCCGTCCACATCCGTGTCGATCCCTCGTCTTCCGACATGTCCGTGGCTACTTCGGACGACATGTCGGCGCTCGAGTCAACAGCTGGCGGCACTGAGACAGACGCCGACACGATCGCGACTCGTACTCGCACCAAGTTCTCGCTCGTGGACGTGTCCATCGACACGCTCGAAGCTTCGCTTGTGGACGCCGCTCCACTTGACCTGGGCGGACATGTATGTATGGATGTACCCATGTATGCAGAACATGGATGTACCCATGTATGCAGAACATGGATGTACCCATGTATGAATGCACCCATGTGCGTCTTTTCGTCCGATGGTGTGCGGCACTAAATCTTGCTATTCAATGCCACGAGTTGACAATCGAGCCAATCGGTCGGCCGTCGATGGAGAGAGAGAGAGAGAGGGGAGGCGCGTGTTTTGATCCACGGAGCGGCCGAACTCACGCGTTGATTGGTGGATTTGTTGCAGGCATTTGCTGAACGTGGCGAGGACGACCAGGAGTACCAGCGGTTCTTGTCGAGTCTGTTGCCTAATGAGAAAGTGGATCTGTCGTTCCTGGACGAAGAGGACGAGGAGTACCGACCCGAGGGGGACGAAGACGAGGACCAGGAGGACGACGACGCTCGACAGGGAATCTCCAAGAAAGAGCTCACGGAGCTGCTGCTGGACTCGACGCGCATGACGTCGTTGTCTGTGTTGCCAGCTGCTACTGTGGAGCCGAAGGATGTCAATGGCGTGGTTGCATCTGAACGAGCAGACGACAATGGAAACGAGGTGGCTGCTCTATCCGAGACTAGCGGTGAAGGAGGGCGCAAGGTCCGTCCAGCTGTAGCCGAGCCGGGAATGAAGACTGGCAATGCGCTAGTGACGATACCGGCAGTGCGACGAGGCCGACCCGTCACCGTGTCCCAAACACGGTGCATCCAACTGGCATCACAGATGCACAAACATCTGCAGTTGCTACTTCAAAGCTATCATCTCTTGGCGAGTCAACCGGCTCGGCCCGAGCTGGCGGAATGTCAAGCAATGATCGAAGACTTACGAGTACGCGGTGAAAAGGCGCTTGCGTATAAGAACGCATTGTTGTCGAAGCTGAACCCTGGAACAAGGTGTAGTGCAGGCGTTGCTTCGACGGATGCTGTCGATACCGATGTTGGTAGTTATAATGACATTTCGTCTCCCAGTGACTTTTCTGGTGTGGAAGGGAACAGTGGAGACGCTGAACCTACCGGAAATATGCTGGCCTCGCGACGTGTGACAAGGTCGCTGACAGCAGCACACGCAGCAGTAGCCCACCCATCGATGTTCGAGCTGGTCGGGTCGCAAACTGTAGACGAGCTTTCGGCTGTTTTTGCTCGAGGCTGCTCACTGGGAGAGCGTAATCGTGCCATTCAAGAGCAATTGCTTCAGCTGGATACACATTTGGTTTCTGCAAAAAAGCGCCGGAAAAGCAAGAAGGGATACTCGATGATCGAGGACACTTTGCTCGCTCATGGCGCTAAGCGTTTTGGTACACAAGCGACTTCGTGGGATCAGATTCAAAGGCACTTTCTTCCGAGTAAAACCACACAAAATCTCCGACATCGGTACAAGTACTTGATCAGCCCAAAGACAGGGATGAATGCTGTTAAAGCACTTCATTTGAGGACTGGTCCGCAGCACCACAATAATAGCTGGCTACTAGAGGAGGATCTTCGGATCGCGCGTGGACTCGTTGAGTTGCACGGTGAGAAGTATCCTTTCTCTCGTCTGTCAAAACGCTACCTCTCTCATCGCAGCCGTCTCGAGATTCGAAAGCGCTGGGAACGGCTTGCGACAAAGTTTCGTCTGGATCTTGCGGACATGAAACTTGCAGTGCCTGCTGATGATTCGCTCGACTTCGTGGTTGCTATGAAGGAATTTTTGGAGGATAAGCTACGAGCACGAATGTTACAACAGAACGGAAAGGCTGAAAAGGCAAAGCTGGAAGCTGCATCACAGCTACACCAGCTTGGTCAAGGAAGACGGGACGCCCTCACATGCGGATCTGTCAGCAACGAAGCCGCCTTGGGTGTATCCTCGCTTGGCACTGGCACGCAGACGACTGGATCTGGCTCGATTTCCTGCAGATCTAAAAACTTACACCCTGCGCTATTTTTCTCGTCATGGTCTTTTATCAGTCCTGCGACGTTGCTCAATGCAACGTGCAAACACAACTGGCCCTCGTTTATGGATGAAGACAGTGAAGCCAATGATAATCTGCTGAGAAAACAGCTCAGCACTGATGCTACCGATAACGGAGCGCTTCAAACCGACTCACACCATGCTGGTGTGAACGGTCAGTCAGTGACACTCAGCAAAGCACAAACCTATGAGTCTATACCGAGCGCGATGCTATCTGATGTAGTAGTCACTCCGCCGGCGGTCATGGGACTTTCTCCAGCAAGTGTTGATGTGAACGCTTACACGGTGCAGAAGGGTAGCGAAGAGGAAGACGATGATAGTGACTACGAGCATGATGAGTTGCTGTCGTCCGATAGCGAAGAGAGTGGGTCTGACTTCGAGCAGATGGAGTTCACGGATGATGATGACGACGACGTTGGTGATGGGAATGAAGATTGCGAAGACAGCACAGAACACAGTGATCTAGTGCTTGACGTAGAGGGCCGATCTGTTACCGGCACCGATTCACTTGAAGACCCTTTTTGGTCGATACTGTCGTCTCCGACACACGACGTTCCCGGTTTGGATGCTGCTGATGGCGAAAGTGAGAGGTCGCAAACACGCATCAGGCATCCACTTCGTCTACAGAATTTGAGCCACCCCGAAAATGAAAACATCAGACGTGCTCTTGCCGCGCTGGAGCAACGTATTGTGGGCAAGAGCATCAGTACCACCGCTTCTCTGTCGGCCACAAGCTCACACACTGGTTGCGACGATCGTCCAAAGCGAAAAGTGGCGTCAACACTTGTAGCACCTGTCGGTGACAAGCGGACAAGTGGGAGTCATTTTCGAGCAAGCATGGATGCACCGACGCAGGCAGCTGGTACTGCAATTGCTGATAGCAACGATTGCAGTATCAACGATGACGATGCTAGTCGCGACGGAGACGGATCTGGCAACGAGGAAGTTGAGGTTGTGGACTTGTTCTCGAGTTCCGCTCAGCTGTTCGGAGATGATGGCAAGAAAGTCGCACCTGAACCGTCTAGGACTGAACAAACACGAGAATCTGACTGGAGTCAAAACCTGGCAAGAACAGTGTTATGTGGCAAAGTGTGCGCCCCATTGTGTAGCAACACTCCTCCCAACAAGAAGGCGAAGCTGCAGGTATGTCCAATTTGCAATGAAACCACGTGCAAATGCCGATCGAGCGAACTGCGCTGACTCGAGAAGCACTTGGCAGTAGTTGGGATGACTCTGTGCTTCCCAAATATGATAATTACTAGCTCGTCCCGTCTTCCGCCAACACCTCGTCATGGTCACTACATCCAGGAGTGGTGGCGCACTGCCACTAGTACCTCACCTTTCGAGTCTTCTTCGGACCTCTTGAGCCGACACTAGTTTCCGAGCTTCTGCGCCGCTTGTCTCGCTTCGCCTTGGGTTGGGAGCTAGTAAGTGAGTGCTGCGACAGACTCTGGAGAATCAGATCCTCCTCGTCCACAAGTTCCTGCTGACTCTGTGTGAACCGGTTGACTTCCTGTCTGCCGAGCAGCGCATCCTTCACCTCTTCGTCCACCTCAATTTGTGGCACTCCTCGAGCGAGCGCAAGCGCCGCCTTCATACCCGCAACAGCAGACGGGAGCACCGCGTTCTTGGATCTGGCAGAAGGAGCTGCTGCTGCAACTGCTGATCCGACGCTCTTCTCCTCGACAGCAGCGACAGCCGCTTCTGCCGCTTGTTTTTCCGAGTATTCCAAGTACATGAACCCGTCGGGCTCCATGTCCAAGAAGTTGTGGTGAACCTGGTGGCGGGTGCGTTCAATGAGGCAAAGAGAGCGTCACGCGGGACGCGGTGTTTATTTATGGCACTCAACCTGTAAATGTGGCAAGTCGACGCACCGTCACGGACATGAGCGTGCCATAAGTGGCGAAAAGATGCCGCACCGTGCTTTCACTAGCACATAGAGACGACGGGACACTGGTGACAATGACCACGTGCCCGTTCCTACAGCCGCGTCCATTAGTAGCATCCAGCGTGGTCGCATTCAATTCGTGCTTCACGTCCTTCTGTGGTGCTGCTGGTGCCATTTTGAAATGTCAAGTTGCAATCGCGGAGTCACTTTGGGCACCGAAAACGTGATATTTACAATACGAAACGACATTTCGAGATGGCGACCCCCCTCCCGCCTGCGGTGCAGCTCCATTCGCAGGATTTTGACTGGAACGACCTGGCCAAACGATGCCAGATGCAAGAGAGCGGAGATCTCGACGTGACAACTGACGAGGAGCGAGAGCGCGTTGACGCGCAGCAGCAGCTTGCGGGAGAAGCCAGAGACAAGTGGGAAACGTTCCACCAGCGACACAATGGTAAGCAGTTGCATGGCTCTTCGGGTGGACGGCACAGGTCGTTGTAGAGACTGGTTGTTGAAGCAAGTGGATCAGGAGGTCGGGAGGGGGTACATCACTGGGTGTCTAGTGCCCTGTCGATGTTGATCCGTGCACTGAAGCTGATTCAGGACTGCTGCAATTGTTCAGGCAAAGTCTACAAGCCCCGCAACTACCTCGTCAGCGAGTTCCCCGAGCTTTGTGCACCAGAACGAAACGTGGTGGAAGTTCTGGAGCTCGGATGTGGCTACGGCAGTGCGATTTTCCCCATTCTCGCCGAGTGCCCCAACGTGCGCGCACAAGTGTGCGACTTCAGCTCCCACGCCATCAACATGCTCGAGCACCACCCAGAGTACGATGCTACACGCTGCCGCGCCTTCGTGTGCGACATAGCTCAGGAAGAGCTGGTAGACGTTGCGCCCACGTCCATTGACATTGTGCTCATGGTCTTCGTGCTGTCAGCCTTACCACCGGAGTCGTTCGCCCGTACGCTGCAGAAAATTTATGCCGTGCTGCGGCCGGGCGGGATCGTCTGCTTTCGCGACTATGGACTCTACGATCTCGCCATGAGGCGCAATGCTAAAAAGCTTGGACCGAATCTGTACTATCGCAGTGACGGGACCTTGGCCTTCTTCTTCTCGCGCGAGATGCTGGTGCAGCTTTTCGAGCAAGCAGGATTTCGCACGCTAGAGGCAACGTACTGCACCGTTCGATTGCGCAATCGAAAAAAAGGAGTGACGATGGATCGTGTGTGGCTGCATGCAAAGCTCCAAAAACCCGGAGCAGAGGAAGCTCATCAGATGCTCAGCAGGTAGACAGAGTTTGACGTGCGCGGGATAGTGCAGAGGAACAGCGCATGATACAAACAACTGCATTCGAAGCGCTTGACCGTGAGAAGTACGAGATCGTATCGTGTAACTCGTTCCTGACTCGAGTCTAAGAACCTGTAAACTAAAGCATGCAAGGTAATGTGCGAGTGTCAAACTACATGCTTTTATCATCGAGTCTCCCAACACGGCTCCATTCGGATCATCAATAGTTTTTACGGGGTAGCCTGTTACGTGATATTGACACCAAACGGTGTCAATTGTGATATTGTCTAGCATGACAATATTCTACCAATATTATCCGAGATGGATAATATTGGAGGAAAACTATCCCTTTTGGATAATATTCATGCGCTGCTCAAAGATTAATCGATAAAAGACACATCCACCACAGATTACCACCAATCGCTGCTGGACGCGCGCAATGAGTGGTGAGCAGGTTGTCGTTACGACAATGTAGATTAACACGGTCAGATAAAGACTGAAGTTATATTGATAGCTTGACTATATTAAATACAGTTCTCTTTTTACCCTTAAATCAGCTTAGTTGTTGCGTAGATTAGCTTCCTCTGCACGTACTAGTGTACCAAAGTTTCGAGGCACCCAGACAAAGGGTGCCCGTTACACCTGATAGCACTTCGTAGTCCGTTCAATGACTACTTAGTGTCCGTCCAACATGAACATGTTGGACATAGAAGACGACAGCTTTCACGTCACACGTGAAGGTTACTCCCATGTGAGTGACTCAATATGGGAGGTAGTCGGCCGCATTAGTAAGCTCATGGGCGAACCCGCCATCAGTGGTATGTTGAAGTCTCTAAGCAGAGACCAGCAACATGCTGCTATTAACAAGTTCCTACAAGGGAAACTTGCCTTAGAAAGACAGAAGATAGCCGTGCTACAACAGCAAGGCTCTCATCAGTCGACGGCTGGGCCGAAGCACATGCTTCGACCCGAAACCTCCACGATCGATATCTCAAGATATGAGGGAACCAAAACGATTCCCGTTTGACATGGTTCGTCGAATAAGACGATGCCATCAGGGCCCGTCACATCGAGGGTGACGAGATGCAAGTCACCTTCGCCCTGTCAAACTTGACAGGACGAGCAAAAGCTTGGGCCTTAGGGCTCAAGCTTCACGACCCAAACGTGTTTGAGTCGTTGGAGATCTTAAAGTCTCGTCTTAATGAGACGTTTGAGCCGCCACGAGCCGAGTTCAGATAACGCTCTTCACTCTTGAGGCTCAAGCAAGGTAAGCGGGATGTGCGTGCTATATGCACAGCACCTACGCTACTTTGCGAGTAGCGTCACGGAAAACCCTGTTGTTGAGCACACGCTCATTAACGTGTTCATCTGCGGCCTTGTAGATGGGCCGGTGAAGACGTACATGTACCAAGAGGACTACCATACGTTGGAAAAGGCGATAGCGTATGCGGAACAAGAAGAATCTAGCCTGAGACAGTGTCAGGCTAGCGCGTCAAACCATCGTCCAACGAGACGACAGGAAACAGGAGGTCCCGAGCCGATGGACCTCTGTTACATTGAGAGCGAGAACTCTCGCTCTCTTGAGTCACAAGCGAACGGCAAGATGCCATCGCTGTCAGAAGATTGGACACTACGCACATATGCGTAGTGTCCTAAGCACCGCATCACTTACAAGGACAGGACGTGATAGCCGCCGTTGGCAGAAGAAAGGTCCAGGGCGCGGATCCAACCATGTCAATAACCCGCAACAGCAATTAGGACCGCCAAAACGGTCAGGGTCAGTAGGGGCGGAGCACCCTGCTGATCCAGCTACGTTAAAATGTTTGCAGGACTCTTGACGAAGGTTGCTCCCGACGCACAGTCGCTGTGTGTGACTGCCCTTAGTGATGAGGAGTCCCTCATCACTTCGAAGATCGAAGTGATAGTGGAATGTCACTTCGCGGCCTAGTTCTGTGGGGCGTCGAACAGTTTTATTCGACGCCAGTCGCTAAGGGATAGTAGGCTCAACTATGTTGAGCGAGAGTTCCCTCCAACGAGGATGACGGTGTGCCTAGCTACAGGTGCATCCGTAACATTGAACAAACGTGCAGTGTGAATCCACTACACGCTACAAGGAAAGTAGTACGATGATGACTTCATCGTACTAGATTTGGATGACAAATTTGATGTCATCCTTGGTCTGCCATGGCTTAGAAAGTACAAGCCATGGGTTAGCTGGCAGCATCGATCCGTGAAGATGCCTGCCGTCTGTTCATCAGATGGCCATCTGATGAACGTCTTGGAGCGTCCACAAGCGTGTGGATGTACTACGAGTGAGTGCGATGGCATCACTTGTGGTACGGTCGTTAGTACGACTGCACAAGATCACAGTGTAGAAGGCCACTACACTATGGAACCAGCTTCCGGCGGCTGTGAGGAAACACAGGCTGCGCCGAAGGTTCACCAATCGAAGAGATCGAGTGGACTGGAACACGGATGCACACCAAGAAGGGTGCACCCAAGATGAGAGATTAGTGTTGTTCAGGATGAACAGCACGTTTAAGCGAGATCGACTATCAGCGAGTCGATCGTAGAGCAAGCCCGATAGACTGGAAAAGAGTCGATCAAAGAGGACGTGACTGTGGTAGTACACTCACAGTCGTAACACGTATTGGAATAAAGATCCAGCGCTCCTGAGAGTGACAACTGCCGAGAGGCTTATGTTAAGGGTGTGTTTCCCCAACCAACTGTAAATGTTTTTTTTCCAGGAAAGCACCAAGACAGTGAAATTCTTGGTGAATGACGGATTAAGTGTAGGCGCTTATACACTTTACATATTACAACTCCGAAGTCAGCTTCGGAGTTAGTCAAGTTGCCAACGCTAGAATTTAAAAGATTCTTGCGAGATCTGCGTAGTGACAAGATCAAGCAGATCTGCGTACTCGTCACAGAGGACTAGTGCGTCGCCGATATTCGGTCAGCATAATTGTTTGCTGAGAACGGACGGATTATTAGTAGCTCATCAATGGAAGAAAGTGTCTTCGATGAGAAGACCCGTATTGAGCGATACACGTCTCAATCTTGGGATTCTTTGCATATAAATCCTTTCTATAAGGATTTGATCGAATTCAGGATTGTTTTCTCTGAATCCGTGCCATGCGAGTTGCCTAAAGACAAAGGCACTCGGCATGAAATCGAACTGAAACCTGGTTTGACTTACTGTGTCATGAAGCAGTGGCCACTGCCTCGTAAACAGGTCACGAATGTCGACACATTCTTTGCCGATCGCTTAGCTGCTGGTCATGCAAGAGAATCAGCATCTCATCACAGCTCTCCGATCTCTTGAGAATGAAAAACCACAGGAGACTGGTGATTGTACGTTCTCTTGGCAAGTTGAACGCTGCAAAGTGTACAGGCTCACACGCCGATACCGATTAAGGACGTAATTATAGATGGTATGGCAAAAAGTACCATCTTGCGTCCATGGATCTGATGGATGTTTTTATCAGATACATGCGTTTACGGGACATCCCGTACACAGCAGTGAGAACCGCAAGTGGTATGATCTGGGAGTGGCTAGTGATGCCACAGGGGCTAAGTAACACCCCTGAAACGTTCAACAGATGTGTTGTGAGTCTGTTACGATCAGTGCGAGACTTTGCACCAAGTTTTTTAATGATGTTTTCGATGATAGCCGCGCTATGGATGGAAAAACTGACGTGGAAGATCATAGTATCCGCGTCCAGAAGGTTCTTACACATATGCGTGAGCATAATCTGCATGCCAACCTCAAGAAGTGTATCTTCGCAGTGAGCGAAATACCACTTCTTGGCTGCATCGCAGGTAAATAAAGCTTACGCCCTGATCCAGAAAAGATCAAGGCGATAAGCGACTGGCCTGTGCCAGTCGACGTCAAGGGACTTCGAAAGTTCCTTGGATCGGCTGAGCACTTGCACAAGTACTCGCGCAACTACGCCGAGATGACCGTACATCTCGTTTAAGAAAAGCGAGAGGTGGTCATGGAGCGCTGAGCGTCATCAATCCTTCGAAGGCATCAAGAAAAGCTTGGAGCAATCGCCTTTGTTATCGATTTCAGACCAGGACAGACCATTCCATGTGGTCTGTGACGCCAGCGATTTTGCACCTGGCTGCGTTAATGCAGTACGACTCAGACGGCGTTGAGCGCGTCGTCTGTTATCAATCGCGTCAGCTGCAAGCAGCTGAGCGTATTACCTGGTGCATGGCAAGGAACTCCTTGCCATGCAATATTCACTGGCTAAGTTTCGGGTATATCTCTTAGGAGATAGGCCCTTCAAAGTTTATACCGACCATGCGTCATTACGCACGGCCGTAAATAGTCCACACCTCTCGCAACAAATGGAGAGTGTCTCTATTTCTTCGCGGAGTACAACTTCTCCGTCGAGTACAAACCAGGAAGACTTGATGTCGTCGCTGATGCTCTTTCGCGTCGGCCCGATTTCGAGCCGACTGCCAAACACAACAGTAGGGGTTATCCCACTGTAGCGACACTAACAGTGAGTGTTCCGTCGTCGGATCTGCTCGATGACGTGCGAAAAGCATACACAGAAGATGAGTCTCTTCTGCGATTGATGGACTACGTGTCTAATCCATGCAGTCAAGCTTTGCAAAGCTTGTCGTCTCAATACCGCTCTTCAATCGAACGGTATCCGGCTCGTGATGGACTGCTGTACTATACAGCAGTCAACGGCGACACACCTCGTGTCGTCGTTCCCGCTCATAATGATTGCGATTGCGCATCATGTATGAGTGCCACGATGCCCCAACAAGTGGACATCGCGGTAGAGAAAAGACTTACCTCACGGTGAGTCGTGACTTCTACTGGCCCCGCCAGTATGAGTCTGTGCAAAAATACATTCGCGCTTGCGAAGTTTGTCAACGGGTGAAGCCTAGTCCTTCATCCCGCGCACCCTTGCAGCCTCGTATGATTCCGGCAGAGTGTTGACAGTCCGTACCGATGGACTTCGTCTTCGGGTTTCCAAAAACGTTCAGAAGAATTCTGGTATTCTTGTGTTTGTTGATCTGTTCAGCAAGATAGTACATCTTGTTGCTGTACCGGATTCAATCACAGCCCACGGCTGTGCGCGTGTCTTCATCGATACTATCTTTCGACTTCACGGGTTACCCCATAAACTCGTGTCCGATCGAGACCCCCACTTTACGGCGGAGTTCTGGCAAGTCGTGTTCCGTTCACTTGGAACACGTTTGACAATGTCGACTTCTGACCATCCAGAAACAGATGGTTAGACAGAACGCGTCAATAGCGTCCTCGAAGAGATAATTTGAGGGTATGTCCACACGTTTACGAGCTGGAGTGAGTTCTTGCCGAATGCGTAATTCGCCATCAACAACTCAGTGCACGCGTCGGCAACGCATACATCGTTCTTCGTGAATGGTCTACGCCATCCACGTTTACCCGCCTTCTTAGAGTTTGACTCTAGTTTAAAAGGACGGATGGAATCGCTCTAACAAAAACCGATCTGGTTCTTGCTCATCACACGTCGACAATGGTGTCGACGTGATGGTTGCCGATGTCGATGCGATCGATATCGATAACGACGATGACGACGATGCTGGTATATTCAGCATCTCCAATGACTGCCACAGTGAGGACGATGACGCCCTCACTAGTGAAGACAACGTTCTTTCATCAGTGCACACGAAGCGCACTGCTGTTGACAAGGATGAATCAGCAAGGTAATTTCTGCAGACTCGCGAAGCGGTTGTCCGCTTCGTTCAAGATTCAATTGCAGATGCACTAGACGGACAGAAAAGAAACGCAGACAAACATGGAAGATCAAATGTTCTTTCATTTGATGAAGGAGACAAATTTTAATGTCTATAGTAAACCTACCGAAATACGCAGTGACAAACGTGGGCAGCAGTAAATTACTGCCCAAGTATATCGGTCCATTTCTTGTTTTGCGCCGATTGGGCAACGCATACATGAGTAGACTGCCTTGTAGGATGCGTTTACATCCTAAATTTTACGTTGGTCGTCTCCGCCCGTACTATAGTACGAGCTCGTTTCGAGAGGCGAAGAAATCCTCCGCGGTCTAGGGCCGAGACCACCTTCGAGTGGTCCCGTTTCAACCAGCCAGTCTGTTCGACTAGCGAAGCGACCCGCTCACGCATTTAAGCGATATCCTGAAGAGCCGCAGTCAGTTCGTCACGAAGAAAACGTATCGAAAATTTCTTTTCAGGATGTGCAATCGCAAACGCGTCACGATCGTTTGAACGATCGCGCGCTAAGTAATTGTAATTGTCCCTTACAATGTCATGAAGCTCATAACGCCGAGTTCATCCATAATCCAAGTCGTCGTGTAACTAATCTATTACACTGTTTAGTTCCTAAACATCAAGCTGATCCGACCCTCAGGCCGGTCCAGGTGTTACCAACACCACCACATCCTTTGGTGAACTCGAGCGGTGGTCGACACTTTCTGGTGGAGCGTATTTTGACCCACCGCGATGTGAATGGCGTTCGGACGAGTTACCTCGTCCGCTGGCGTGGCTATCCACCGGCCAGAGACAGCTGGGAGCCTCGTTCTCAGCTGACTGTTGATGTTATGGGTCTCGTCGAGCAATATGATGAGACCCATCCGCTGCGTTCGAAGAAGGGCCGTCGATAAATGACCTCCACGAACGCGAGTACAGGGATTGCAAGGTGTCAATCCCTTCGGCCATATCGGAAGAGATGCGCGCCCTCCAGTAGGTAACATTAGGAAATTAAGCCTAACTAGGAGCACGATTCGAGTTGTCCAGGCAACTTGGACACGAATCACCCCACGAGAGACAGGGTAATCCTGCCTCTTTTGACAGTCGGTGCAATTTGTTCCGTAAACCGACTGTGTTACGCTTCTTAAACCTGATGCGAGCTGTATCAAGTTTAACGAGCCAGGCCTTACGGACAATGCACTCGGTATTGTGGAAAGGACGTTCCATCCTTGCACCAAGGTCTTACCGTCTCGACCACGGTTGCCATTGTACCACCGGTGCTTGAAGAACGCATCGGTGAAGAACTCTTTCTCAGCACGGATAGTTTACGTGCTGGAATTAGGAGGACAAATCTTTCTACAGTCGAACAGCGTCATTCGATCCCTTTCGGTGGTCATGCCGACCACTCGATCTAAGTCTTTGGATGACGGCATCCAAGGAGAATCCACTTGAGGAGCGTGGCGCAGGGCATTCAGGTCCCAGGCCTCTTGATTGGTGTCAGCACGAGCATTGACACCAGTGGCAGCTCGATCTCTCGAATTTCTTCTAATGAGGAGATGCATAGGGGCATCAACACTATCATCACGCGTTCTATCGTCAGATGGACTTGCGTGATGCGAGGACTCGTCAGAAGAACCTCTCGGTCTGAAGATCTAGGACATGATACTGCCACGTTCCCCAGAGTCAGTAAACCTGGCTCTTGCAGTGTCCGCCCCGGATGGTCCAGAGGCGTGAGGTGTCGCTTTCGAGTCGGATGGATCATCCGACTCGCCAGAATGGATGAGCTCTATTTCAGTCTCATCCACAATGAGAATCGCAGCATCCTTCTGCAGACACAGCGGATGTATCTGTCGCACGTGGTTATTCACCACGTGGACTGTTCACAACAGGCAAAGGATCATTAGCGGCTGAAGCAAGAGAAGAACCCTCTTCGGTTGCACGCATGCGTGCAATCGCCTTTTTTGCTGCTTCGGCAGCACATCGCTTGGACTTTGACACCATGCGATGAAATTGGCAAATCAGTTGGGTTTGGTCAACAAGTGCTCTCATTCCTAAAGTGATCCATCGGTGATCACTATGTATCCAATCAATTTGATTTAATCATTAGTGATTGATGGTTGAGGGGGGGGGGGGTGTCGGGGTCGCCCGTTACATTGTCTAGCGTGACAAAATCCTGTCAATACTACCCGAAATAGGTAGTATTAAAGAATTATTATCTTTTCGGTAAATTTGTACGCGCTTATAAAAGTTTGGTAGGTAAAAGGCATATCAATAAATATCACCACCATTCGATGCTAGACGCGTGCAATGAGTGGTGACCAGGTTGTCGTCATACGACAATGTAAATTAATAAACTTAGATAAAGACTGAGGTTGTATTAAAGCTTAACTATATTAATTACAGTTATCTGTTTATCTTACTCAAACTAGCAGTTTGAGTTAATTAGCTTTCTCTGCACGTACGAGTGTACGTGAAGTTTCGTGGCACCCAAGCTAAGGTTGCCCCGTACAATATGGCAATTCTAGTTTGGATGGGCGAAAGGCTTGCACACTCAACGACAAGGCTTGTGTGGCAGCAAAAAGGGTTTAGATTGGTATAAAGATCGTCGATTCACTACCATCATTCAGCGATATGGCTATGCGTTCCGGCGTAACATGAATATCGTGTATTGAATGCTTTGTCTCCTACTCATTGAGGACAAGCTTTCGAGGTAGATATACCGTGTCACTTGCCAGGCGTTCCCGACAACTTGCGCAATGTCATCCTTAGTGTCGGTCCCTTTCGCTTCGTAAGTTTGCACTAAATGTCTGTACACCAATCTTTAGTTCTGAGCAAGATGAATCAAACTGTGGTGCTGGATAACCTTCACACAGTTTGTGGATTCGTATTCATCCCATTTAAGTAAGGCTGCGAAAGAAAGACATTGCTTTTCTTCTCCACCTAATTTTTTAAAAATGAAATCTCACTGACATTCGCGGTGATTGATCATTTCAGGGTGGTTTGTTAGAGTGACTAGAAAATGACATACATAAGCAGAGTGCAGCTCTCCTGGTTCTCGCGTTGGATGAGAAATGTAATCTGATTTTATAAGGGGCCAGGGTGCTTCGCCAAATCGTACTAAAATTACTGCTGCAAAAAAGAAAACTTGGATGACGCTACAAATTATAACCCAATACCTTTACTGCAGACCAGAAATTAGCTCTTCGTAAGGGTAATTACTACCACTTCGTGATGTGGCGTCCACCCTGTCCACCACAGCGAGTCAGACAATGAACGCGTCTGCATAAGTAGTCACCGTTTCTCACCAGCTACACTGAATCTAAAAAAGATTAAGGCGCTCGAAGCATTTTTATGAGGAGACAACATATTTGTATCGGTAAAGTGCTCTTTAAAACTCTGTTTGCCATCAAATGGAGTCGGCCCTGTAGCACAAGCTGGTGGATGCTTTGAATTGCGATCCGAACATTCCATGCTCTCTAATATTGGAATTTGACGGACTAGTCAATTCTCTTAAAGGCGTAACAGCCCTTTAGTCGCCATCATTTTTACGTGATTAATCGATGGCGGAAAAAAAATTCTTTACTAAATGACATTTGATAAAGTATTCATCACACAGGGTCGCCCGTGCCAAATATGCTTCAGTGTCCGCCCAGCCATTAGGAAACTTGTGTTAGTATCTGACGGAAATGCCAATGTCTATAGAACCTCGAAATATGGAGCAGCGTTTGATCTTCAAACGAAAATATGCGCGTTAAATATAGTGAAGGTGATAGATAAGAAGCTCCTGAATTTGTACATGGTACATTCGAAGTGAGTGCAAGGAGGAGGGGTGTAACGGGGCACCCTGAAGCTTATACTGATGACAGTACAAGCTACTTATTCTGATGACAGAATAAGGCGGTGCCTCGTAACTTCACGTATACTCGTACGTGCAGAGGAAGACGGTAAGAAGAAGCGAGTACTTGGTTAAAGTAAAAAGTAGAACTATATTTATCATAGTTAATGTCTGCAATAAATCACTATTTATCTTCATCTAGCTATGTCTAAATACAAATGTGTACATCAACTATCTGCTCACCACTCATTGCGTGCGTCTGTCGTGGCGCGTCTTCGTTGGTTGATATAATGGCCTATATCAACCAATTAGGAACTACTCGTAAGTGCTACAGAATATTTGTCCTTATGACACTGTTCTGAGAATATAACTCTTATAGTTGTATTCTATAAACAATTTCTTATAAATTGTTATGCAACGGTTCACCCCGTTACACCCCCCCCCTTAACCATCAGTCACTTTAGTGACTGATTGACTAAATGGATACTCGTCTTAAAACATTTGGGACAGAATTTGCACTTGTTGGTCCTAGTCCACTTTCCAACATCTCATCGCATGGTTAACAAGCCCATGCGATGCGCGAGTAAGGCCTCCGAGAGCGCGTCCGCACGTCTCTGTGCGGACGCCGAAGCAGAAACCACAGCAACTGATGTCTCATCGGTTGCTGAAGCGACTCAGCCTGTGTCATTGGGTGATGCAGACGCTGGTCATGAAGACACTCATGTCTTCACAGAGTATGAGCTCGGTGTCTCATACTCTCCTGATACGGAAGACGGATCCGTATCGACGGCGATCGAATCCAAGCCGCCTGCCAAGCGTGGCATGGATGATGCTATGCGTCGTAGCATCTTTGGTTCATCTGGTGAGTCAGATGAACCATCGCCGAAGCGTAGGCGCTCGAGGTCGCGAGACTCGGGCGTTAAGAGTGGTGTCGGTTCTCCTATGGACACCACTTCGCAACGAGATGCCAGTCCTTCTGTCGGCACGTCGCAAGAAGAGCGGGACCGCAATGTGTTGCGTCTCGCTCCCGAGAAGAAGGCATGGATGCCTCCTTAATCCGTCATGGACCACTTGTCGGCGACAACGAGTGATCGTTATCGAACACGATTGTTCGATTCGTCAAGGATCCATCACCTTGACCCCAGCGCGAAAAACTATCGCGCTGAGAATGAATTCTTCATCGATGCTTTCTTTAGACATCGATGGTACAGTGGGAATCACAAACGTGATGGTCCCTCACTGCTTCAAGCGTGGAACGCCTACATCCATAACCTCGAGGATGTAGGTCGTGACGCTTGGAACAACAAACTTATCAAAGCTCGTGATAAGTTTGAAAAGCGAACCCCGACAGGTGCACGCTACAAGCTGCATCGTCTGTCTATGGAGAGTGGGTTACCCTGCCTCTCTTGGGTAGACTCGTGCCCATGTTGTGTGAACAACTCTGTACGAGCACCTAAGGAGGCTTACCTCCCTAATAGCCCGTGGTGTTGCGTACGTATCTCTATTGAGATGTACGAAGGGATTGACAACCTGAAATCCCTTTACGACCGTGCCGGGAAGACTTTCTCCGGCGGTCCTTCTGCGGCACAGGATGTGCCGCGTCGTACTGCTCGACCAGACCCAGTACGTCAACCATCAGTTGGGAGCGGGGCTCCAAAGTATCCCAGGACGGGGGATAGCCGCTTCACCGGACGAGATAACTCGTCCGACGTCCGTTCACGTCGCGGTACAGCTGCTCAACCAGATAGCATTGGCCACCGCTAGAGTCCTCTAGTGGAGGTGGAGGAGGAGGAAGACGCTCTCACACAATCGTGGGGAAGCGTGTATCCCCGAGAGCCTCTTTGATCGCGTAACGCAAGGGTTACGCAACGATCTCGAACATGAGCGGGACAGGCGTTTCCAACTGGCGGACACTGTCTTGAAGCATCGAGCTGAGTTTGCCTTTGCTCAGCTTGAGAACGAGAGAGCTCTGACGTCTCTGCGTGACGAGCTAAGAGTAGCTCGTGGGATTGTTGATCGGTCTCGGGCTGAGATAACTGCTCTTCAGACCCTTGTCGACGCCCACCATCGGGAGCACAAGGCTCTCTGCGAGATTCTTGAGCGCAAGGGCGTTCTTCATCGGAAGAAGCAGCGTACTGATGGTACGGCTTAAGCCGGCCAACGTAAAACGTGGGATGCGCTCGCATCTTACGTGGCAACTCGATCGTGTATGCATTGCCTAGGCGGTACAATACACGAAATGGGCCGATGTACTTGGGTAGTAGTTTACTGCTACCCAAGTTAGTCACTACATGCTTTGGTAGATTAACCGTAGACAGTAGGACTAAGTCACCTTTATTAAATAAAAGAGTGTTTGCCCTTCCATTCTTGTCAGCGTTTTGCTTTTGCTTATCCACCGCTTCGGCGATGGGTCTTGCACAAAACTGACTAGCGTTTCACGAGCCAGTATGAACTCATCTGCTGACTCGTTAGCTTCAGTGCGCTGTGAGTGCACTGCAGCAATATCAATCTTTTCTTCAGTGAGGACTTCCTCGCTCTCACTGGCATCATCTTCTTCGATATCGATGTTGTCGATATCGGCATCAAACGCAAGGACCTTATCTTCAGAGCGTGATGAGCGTGAACCAAATCGGTTTTTGCTCGCGCGAGTCTCTCCCCCCCTTAAACTAGAGTTACACTCTAGTTAGGTGGGTACACGCGGATGGCGCAAGCCATTCACGTAAAACGGTGTATGTGGCGTGGACGCATGTACCGAGTTGTTAATGGCAAACTCTACCATGGGCAAGAACTCACTCCAAATCTTAAAGGAGTGTACGTATCCTCGAAGTATCTCTTCGAGGACACGATTGGCACGTTCCGTCTGACCATCTGACTCTGGATGATCAGATGTAGACATCTTCAAGCGCGTTCCGAGTGATTTGAACACGGAACGCCAGAAATCAGCAGCGAATCGTGGATCTCTGTCTGATACGGGTTCACGGGGCAACCTATGAAGTCGGAAGATGGTGTCAATAAAGACACAAGCACAGCCACTTGCCGTGATTGTCTCTGGTATAGCCACAAGGTGTACCATTTTGCTGAATCTGTCAACAAATACGAGAATACCCGTATTCCCGCGTGCGTCTTTGGGTAACCCGAAGACAAAATCCATTGAGATGGATTCCCAACACTCAGCCGGAACTAGTAGAGGCTGTAAAGGTGCACGCAGTGAAGGACTTGACTTCACTCGTTGACAGACTTTGCATGCGCGAACGTACTTGCGCACAAACTGATACTGGCGGGGCCAGTAAAAGTCTCGACTCACCGTGAGATATGTTTTCTCCCGGCCACGATGTCCTCCTATAGGAGCATCGTGATACTCGAACGTGATCCGCAAACGCAGATCAGTATCATCTGGAATGACAACACGTGGTGTGTCACCAGTAACGGCTGTATAATACAGTAAACCGTTGCGAGTAGTGTATCGATCTGATGCAGATCGATACGCAGACGACAATCGTTTCAACGATTCTCGAGATGGCTGTGAGAGATGTGTCAGCAACTTCACAATCTCACCATCTTGGGCGTATGCCCGCCTCACATCATCATACAACGTTGTAGATGGGACTGAGGACGTCATAACCGCAACAGTGAATGTCACACTGTTGGGTTGCGCGACTGGTTCAAAGTCGGGACGACGTGAGAGTGCATCAGCGACGACATTAAGTCGTCCTGGTTTGTACTCGACCGTAAAGTTGTATTCTGCAAAGAATGACAACCACCGCGCCATTCGTTGTGAAAGGTGAGGGCTGTTCACTGCCGTGCGTAATGACGCATGGTCAGTGTAAACAATGAAGGGTCTATCTCCTAATAGATAGACTCTGAACTTCGCGAGTGCATACTTCATGGCAAGGAGTTCCTTGTCATGCACTGGATAGTTCCGCTCAGCTGGTTGCAGCTGACGCGACTGATAGCAGACGACGCATTCAACGCCTTCTAGGTCGTACTGCATTAATACACAGCCGATTGCGAAATCGCTGGCATCACAGACCACATGAAATGGCCTGTCCTGATCGGCTATTGCTAGGACTGGGGATTGTATCAAGCTCTGCTTGATACCATCAAAGGAGCGCTGACATTCAGCGTTCCACACCCACCTCTCGTTCTTTTTCAACAAACGAGAGAAGTGTACAGTCATCTCGGCGTAATTGCGTGAATACTTGTGCAAATACGCCGCTAGCCCAAGGAATTGTTGAAGACCTTTGACATCAACCGGCACAGGACAGTCGGTGATCGCCTTGATCTTTTCGGGATCAGGACGTACACCGTTCTTACCAACGATGCACCCAAGAAGTGGGGTTTTGCTTGCTGCAAATATACACTTCTTGAGGTTTGCATACAATTTATGCTTTCGCATGATTGTAAGAACCTGTCGGACGTGGTATCTGTGAACCTCAACGTCCGACTTTCCATCCATAGCTCGACTATGGATGAATACATCATCGAAATAACTCGGTGCGAATTCTCGTACTGGTCTCAACAGATGTGATACACATCTGTTGAACGTGGCAGGGGCATTACTAAGCCCTTGTGGCATTACTAGCCATTCCCAGAGCATGCCGCTAGGCGTGCTTACTGCGGTATAGGGTATATCCCGTTCTCGCATAAGGATTTAATAGAAGCCATCCATCAAATCCATGGACGAAAAGATGGTACTCTTTGACATACCATCAATGATTACGTCCTTCCTTGGTATCGGCGTCTGAGCCGGTACCGTTGCAGCATTCAACTTGTTAAATGCATGCACAATCCGCCACCCTCTTGTTGCTTTTCGCACACAGAAGGTCGGAGAGCTATTTGGGGAATACCAGCATCTAACGAACGACAAAGAACTTGTCGATCGCAAGTACTTGTTCACGAGGCAGTGGCCACTGCTTCATGACACAGTACTTCGAGCCTGGTTTAAGCTCGACCTCGTGTCGAATGCCTTTATCCTTCGGTAACTCGCACAAAACAGTTTCAGGAAATACATCCTTGAATTCAACCAAATCTTCATAGAGAGATTTGTCTTGAGCGATTCCCACGATTAGGGGTCATGTCGCTCAACTCGTGTCTTTTCATCGAGGACGCTCTCGTCCATCGATGAACAACTGAGAACTCTCTCGTTCTCAGTAAACACTGTTGCTGACCTTATGTCGGCTACACACTCGTCGTCAGCGACGAGTACGCAGATCTGCCTGACTTTGCCACTACGCAGATCACGCAAGAACCTTTTTGTTCGAGCGTTGGCAACTGAGTTATCTCCGAAGTCAACTTCGGAGGCGCAATCAGATCAAGTGTATAAGCGCCTACACTTGATCCGTCATTGACTAGGACATTCAATGTCTCTGTCATTTTCTGGGGACTTATTCCATCAGGCTTCGAAGGACTTATTCCTTCGGCTTCCCGGGGACTTATTCCCGCGGGTTTTGGGGAACTTATTTCCGCCGTATATGTTATATCGGGACTTATTCCCTTTACTTCCTCTAGCTGGGGTCGCGCAACCACAGCGAGATCCTCTACGAAAGACTCTCCAGTCGATCTAGGATTATCGTTTCGCTTAACCTGAGCTATCGATTGTTTCTCTTCTAGTTGTTCCCCGCCAGGGATACATCTTTGTCCCGGTCCACTCGACTTATTCGAGTGGTTAACCTTCGGCGCAGCCTTTGTTTCCTCACAGCCGCCGGAATCTTGCTCCAAAGTGTAACTGTTTGTTACACTAAGGTTTTGTGCAGTCGTACTAACGACCGTACCACAATTGAGGCCATCGCACTCACTCGTAGTACATCCACACGCTTGTGGACGCCCCAAAACGTTCATCAGATGGCCATCTGATGAACAAGCGGCAGGCATCGTTACTGTTCGATGTTGTCAGTTTACCCGTGGTTCGTACCTTCTGGACCACGGTATTCCAAAGATGACATCAAATTTGTCATCCAAATCCAATACGATAAAGTCATTGTCATATTGGGTATCTTCTAGCGTATAGTGGATCTTCACTATACGCTTCATGACGGTTACGGATGCGCCTGTCGCAAGACGTACCGTCATCCTCGTAGGAGGTGTGTCACATTCACTGAAATTAAAGAGACCATCTTCTAGCGATTGGCGTCGCACAAAATTGTTGGACGCCCCACAATCGACTAGAGCTCGAAGGGACAACTTATTCGTCACTTCGAGTTTCAAGGTAATGAGTGAGATCTCATTACCTAGAGCAGCAACGCACAACGTTTGTGTGTTGGGAGCAACCTTCATCAAGAGGCCTACAAATTCTCTTGACGTTGCTGGACCAGTAGGGTGCTCCGCACCTACTGATCCTGTCCGTTTTTTGACGGTCCATCCCGTTGTTGCGTCTTTGCACCAACAGCGGACCCGCGTCCCTGCCCCTTTCTCATGGGTGGACGGTCATTACGCCCAGTGTTGCGAGACACTGGACGAGGGGCACTACACTCGTAAGCGTAGTGTCCTGTCTTTTGACATCTGTTGCATTTCTGCAACTTCTTGTAGTCTGTAGAGCGAGCCTTCTCGCTCTCTACATAATAGAGTTCCATCGGCTCTGGACCTCCGTTGTCATATCGTCTCGGTTGACGATACGATGTCGAGCTGGCGCGAGCCTGTCTCAGACTGAAGTCTTCCTGTTCCGCAATGGAAATGGCTTGTTCTAGTGAATCTAGTTCAAGTCGGAACAGATGAGTCTTGACGGGACCATCCGCAAGACCCTGCATGAACACCGAAACCAACGTGTGTTCATCCACCGGATTGGAACTTATACAACTCGTAAGATGTCGTATATGTTGCGCGTAAGCGTGCACATCGCACTTACCCTGCTTGAGCTTCAAGAGTTCGGTTCGAGCTCTGAACTCAGCTCTAGGCGGTTCAAACGTTTGTCTAAGCCGCGACTTAAAGACTTTCAACGACCCAAACGCATATGGGTCGTGCAACTTGAGCCCCAGTGCCCAAGTCTGGGCACGTCCTGCCAGATTTGATTGGGCAAATAAGACTTGCATTTCCCCGTCGTCGATGCGACGCGCCCTTATGGCGTCATCCAATTCGACGAACCATCTCAAGAGGGAGTCTTCTTCGACTCCCCTATACTTGGAGATGTCAATCTTTAAGGTTTCGGGTCGACGCGAG